TGCATGGTGTGTATGTATGAGTGTGTACGTACCTTTGCCAACAAGTCTAATCTTCTCATAGTCATGGTCAAGATCCTTCACCCTCTTCTTGGCTCCACTGCCCGCTGTCTTGAGAGCATCCTTCAGCTTCTTCAGGTCAAAGTACAGCTCTCCCAGGGTCAGGGACACCGACCCCTCTGGACCCCACCTCACCACCTCCACGTCTGACCCCTGTAGGTCCTTACTCAGGGTCACCGGGATCTGTTGCGTATACAGTACAAGGATATTAGGTCAGGTTACTGGCTATGAAAGATAAGGTCAAGCAAGGTCAATAGGTCATTCTTCCTTTCATCCCCTTCACTCCTCCATCTCTCCCTCCTTGCCCCCCCTCCTCCTTCATCTCTCCCACCCTCCTCATCCTTCTCTTCCAATCTGCCTCCCCCATGGGGTGGGCAGCCAAGAAGTCGAGGCGGGTGTTCATCATAGTCAGGTCAACATGGGTGGACACCAAGGTACTGGGGAACTCCCTGACCAACACCTGTTCTGGCGCTGAATGTCCGCTCACCACCTGTCAACACCTGTACACCTCACCATGTCAACATCTGCAAACCTCAACACTTCTTAACATATGCATCTCAACATGTGTATTTTAGTACCTGTCAACACCTGTCACCATCTGTTCACCTCATCTTTTGTCATTCCTATTGGTATTACCATCATCATTACTACAAATGTTATTAGTCTATTATCATTGTTAATATTATCATTATTATTTATATCATCATGTTATTAGTCTATTAATCATTATTATTACAGTACAGTGGGGTATGCTATAACGAATCTAATTGGTTCTAGAACCTTGTTCGTTATAGCATTCATTCGTTATAGGATTAATCCGTTCCAGGCCCCCAAATACAACCACTTAACACTGAAAAATATATAAAATTGTAAAAATTTTAAAAAAGTGCATAAATATGCATCTAAACCCCTGAAATAAAGAATATCATTAATACTTGTAATACAAAAACAATAAATTAGTAAAGAAAAAAAAACAATTTTTTTTAAATAATGTTCGTTGTAGGAGTTTCGTTCGTTATAGCATTCTCAATTTTATAGGTAAAACCGTTCGTTATAGGAATATTCGTAGTAGGATCCGTTCGTTATAGCATACCCCACTGTGTTAACTTTAATATTATTATGATTATCATTATCACACTCATTCTCATTTTCAGTTCCATATTATCATCACCACCATCAGCACCACTACCACCACCATCGCCACTCCCATTATCACCACCACCACCATACCTTCTCTCCAGGGCCACACAGATAAAGTTGGGATTCAGAGCCATGTAGCACCACTGCCAACGTCTCCACTTTCCTCCCTGCCAGAGCTCCGGAGACCTGGCCTGTGGTGATACGAGAGATATTCAGTAAAAGTTTCAGATGGTAAAGTGAATTAATACCACCACACCAAATGTTGCACAAAAAGTGGTAAGGTAGTTCTTAATTGCAATACATCGAGTCACTAAGGAATTAAAAAAAGCACATGAATTTATGTTATTAGTAACAAGTTGTGGTTAAACTGATACACAAATGAAACAAAGTTGATGTGTTAGGGCCTGGGAATTACCTGGCACTGGTTACCTAGTATGGTATACTTGGACTTGTTAAAATATGAAATTTAGGCTACAAAATATTCATACTAATACAATATCTATTTTGGTAGTGATGGACGATTATTTAATGCGCTCATTACGAAAATTGGGTCAATATTATTCCGGATACGGGAGGTTATTCGCCATTTCAGATGGAGCAGCTCTCGCCACTCTTCAATTAGGCCACTTGCGATTTTTTTTAGCTTAATTTGATTTGCATTCATTCCTACACTTAGATTATTTGGATTAATTATCTTAAAGGCTTACCTTTAATGATGGTTAAGAGAATTTGGAGGATATAAGCAGCGATGAGGCAAGTAAAGGCTGGTGGATGTTCCCACAAACATTGGAATTCTTCTTTAAAAAGAGCAATAAAATTCTTCTTGTGCTGTTCCATATGGAGGATATCTTACAGAAAAAATTAATCCTTTACAGATTTCTACAATTTATGCACATCCAATTCTATTTTTTTCTTTTGGTTCCAAAATATAGTTCCATCGTAGTATACATCGGGTGGGGGTGAGAGCACCATGAAAATCGCGATGTTCCAACAATGAATTGCACGCTTTTTTGTTTTTAAGCACCGAGTGCTTCTTGCAAAGTGACCAACGGGATATCGCAGCACCATGAACACGACGACAGTTCTTGTTACCCGTGCCATGCCTCGCCAGTCCAGCTGCTCTCAAATCAAGTTTAATAGTATGATGAAATCTGACCATGAACAGATATTGCCTGTTTCTCTGTCTAGTACAGTAATGGGAGAATTACCCTTTTAAGCATTCAGTAACCTTAAAACCTAATGATCTACTGTATATTTTTGCAAGCCATAAGAAAAATTGTTTCCAATGTATGACAGTTTTACCAAGCCTTCCATTACCCACCCACCTGTGGGTAATTACCCACATGGGCAGTCAGTTACATTAACTTGTGAAAAGCTCTGGAACAGGAAAAAGATTACAAGTACTGTAAAATATTTCAGCGACATCCTCTACAACAGTGAGTGACATCACAAGGTATATAGGTTACATTTCAGAACTTTTTCATAATCTTCGTGTTTACTTTATGAATATTTTAGTATTGGAAGGTTCAATTCACCATAAAGTATACACATGTACTGTACATGAGCTGTAGCGTGATAAATCCCAGGTGGTAGTGAGCAAAACTGTGCTTCAATCAAGATTCAGACCAGACATCACCATTACTCACCAATAAGTGATATACTGTATGAGGGAAACTTGGACACTTGTAGTATCACATAATATGACCGAGGTTTTTTTACGAGGATTAGTCCACCTGGCACAAGTCACTGACCCACATTGGGGTCTGGGAGGGCAAAATATAATAACTGAACCAAAAATAAATACAGTATACTCTCGATAACTTGACACATATGGAGCTTTGGCCTTACCGAGTTATTCCAAATTTTGACTTAACGAGGCACTTCCCCCCTCTTGCAAAAAATACAATAAAAAATTATTGACCCATATGCTGTATGTGTACATGTAATTACTAAATGTAAAAAAGTAAAACTTACCAGCACTGCAGGTGAAGAATGAAACATCATAGTAGGTGACACAGATGCATGGTAGGTGACAGAGGTATGGTACGTAGGTGATGCAGGTGGCCAAATATGCCAAGATTTTCCCAGATAATTTTACATATCTCGGAATTTTCCGTGTTATACTAATACTGTACGTACATTCCGAGACCATATCCATGCCGAGTTATATGAAATTCAGAGTTATCGAGGGTTTACTGTACATAAATGGAATAAACAAAACAAATCAAGAGTGAGAAATTATATATAAGGTGTGTTGTCAATGAGAAACAATTGAGGCTACAACTGTGTGTAAATGAGGCAGAAAGTCAAATGAGCAACCTGTGACTTGGTCACAATTTTTGTAATGCCATATGGCAGCAGGGTCTACCATTAGACAACATATTATGGTTCCAATATCTTCCCAGGCGGTATAGTACCTCCCTATTTGATAGCTGCCTACTACCTGCTCAATACAATAACTTAAATCAAAATGGAAACAATAAAAATGATCCACAACAGCTGATAGACATAAGCACACGCTAGTGTTACACCACAACATGGCAGCAGCTGTCTACCTTCCATGGCAACCTTTACTTCTTGTCAGTCATTAATGCTTAAGAGTTTCCAGTTATATGACCTGCGAGGTTTAGTGTGCACATACCAAGATGAAGGACATTGATTATAAAAATTAACAGCTGGTTGGACTTGCACACAGCCTGTGTTCTGCCAGCCATAAGGGTCTAAAGCCAACAAATAAATAAAAAGTAGACTACCACAGAAAGTACAGAAATACAATGATGTAGGGAAAGTATGGATAATCAATTTATTGTCTAACATTTACAGGAATAACAATAAATTCCATAGATTCATATATATATATATATACATATATATTTTTACTGAATAGAGCCATACACCAGGAAAGTTTATATACAAAAGAAAAAAAAAATATATATATATATATATATATATATATATATATATAATCATTTCTGTTACAACAGGTGTTTGTCAATGCGAATTGGTTGTAACGCGATTGACGAATAGAAGAACGATATTTGTAAAACACAAACGCGTGTTGGCTGGAACGCGATTCCACTCAAACGTTTTAAGTGTACTGTCGCTTGGCGGGGGGTTATGCAGTGTTTACAGTTCACGTTTGACATCACATGTTCAATTGATTCATGTGTTTGTTTGTGAAGTGTTATTTGATAGGGACTATATAAATTTCATCCTTTTTTTGCAAATTTAGCTGTTCCCATAAATACTGTATGAAAAATGTGAATAAAAATAATTTTGGCAGTGCGGACTAATAGCGTTTTACACCCGCGCTCTCTGTTTCCATCACACGATCAGTTGAAACACGTGGGTTGTTTTGAAGCATCCTCAGTGATTTTTGCTTACTATTTCTCCAATTTTGTGGTATTAACTGTGAATATGGAAAAGAAGGACATCTCCAAGAAGCGTTCTGGTGATCGCATTCCCGGTGGTGATCGTAAAAGAAAGGCTATAACACTTGAAGAGAAGCTCGATGTTATCAACCTCAAAATCACCCTTCTCCCCCATCAAGTTATATTCATATTTTTTCAAGGTAAAGTGTTACATTTACAGTAAGATTTCATTATTAGATATGAATGTAACATATATTTAGACTGTGCTATCCTTTGTGTTAGGCTAACTACTAAATTTTTTCGATTTCGAGTAATCTGCACCTAACCCTATTTTCTCCATAAGCCCTGTTATTTCTATTGCGTGAATTTCTATAACGCGAGGTTTTACAAGAACACAACTATCGCGTTGTAGCAGAACTGACTATATATATATATATATATATATATATATATATATATATATATATATATATATATATATATATATATATATATATTATATATATATATATATATATATATATATATATATATATATATGCTATCACATTTGCTTCCAAGAAGCATTCAACTTAGACAAGTTACTCAAACATGAGTTTCTCTAGGAAAAAGTTTCATCAGTAAAAATACCTTAAGTGAATTCTAAAGAAATACAGCAAAAATGAAAAATCTTTGTGTAAAAAAGAATGACTCAAGAATGGAGAATTACCACATTCCCCCAAAAATGTTGTTGCACAAAAAGGTGCAAATCACCTGTTATATCTCAATATATTCTTTGCAATTGTGGGTTTAGTGGGGATGGTGGTGGGTAAAGGCTGGCATGAGATCTCTCACGGACAGTGGCAGCCAAAGCCACTCCGTGCACACTCCATACGTCACTGGACTAGAGGTCGACGTTTCAGCTTTCCTTATCCAACATGGCAAGAAGAATATATTTTATGTACAAGAAAGATAACAGAGAATCAGAATAGGGCAGAGTATACACTAAACTCTAAGTTATGCAGGTACAGCATCTGAGAATGACCTCTCATGGAGGTCCTCCTCAAGTGGCCTTGGCCCCAGGACCTATCTCGCCAACTCAGGCAGACGTGGTCCCCTATGCCAAAAACTCAAGTTGCTCATTTTAATTCTACAGCAAAAAAAATACATATAGCATGTGCTAAATAGTGTAATTCTCCAATATGAAGGAAATAATTCCATTTTCTCTCAAAAGTATGTCAGAAATAATGGTCCAAGTAAATGACATGTAAGTGATCCATCTCTAAGGAAAAGAGATAAACTTATGTAATCAACATTGACAGCACAAACTATCACAGGCTCTGACTGTTGCTCACAGGCAACTAACCATTCTTATGCTATTCAAAATGTTAACAACTGTTTTCAATCATCATTTAGAAACATTTCTCACAGGTAAATGAAGTGTAATTCAAATACAGTAAGTGGTCCATGACACAGTAACCTGCAGATATATTCATGATATGAGTGAGTATTCTCATTCTTTTATAATTATAAGCCATGGTGTCACCAAAGCTCCCAACAGTCACTTTCATAGACACAAGAGAAACCTATAAGGTTATCACCCCATGTCTCAGTGTCTCCTCCAATGGCACCAGAGAAAGCACATATAAATAATATATGGCAAAAGTTCCCACAGACACTTTTCTACAATTAGATAAAGCACTTCACTCCTAAGGTGTCTTGCCAACATCCTATTTTTCCACATTACAACAAAGCCTGAACCAACATTAAACAGGCAGATCTTCAGCACGGAGCTGTGTTCAGTGGCAGGACCACAGGATGTGCACGTCACCCATGTTGCCCTACAGGAATTTCTCCTGGGATCACTCTGCTGCAAGTGGTCTGTATTTTTTTATGCGTTTCCATTCTCCAGTATTGTAGTTCATTTGGAAGTGGGTCTCAGCAAGCATGTTGATGAATGCTCCTTCTGGCTGCGACACTGTCTCCTCTCCCTCACTTAACTTGATTGTCACAATATTACCCAGATGTGGACAGGGATTCTCTGCAATACAAGATACAGTACAGTTACTGTATTCTGGTGTTTGTCCCTATTACTATTTTTACTGAATATTAGTTACCTTTATCTCTGAGACCTGAGGAACATTTACATGTCTTTTTATTAATCAACAACAAATATTAAAAGGGTATTTCCTCAATAAGAAAATAGAAACTTATGCTATGGGGTGCTTCTTTGGGCTTTACACAACAGATTAATGAGAAATGTGAGTGAAACTGGAGAAGACAGATGCCTTTAAGTCAAACACAACAGAATGAGGTCAAAGACAAGAGTGATCCAACTTACCTCTGGAGCCAGCCATAAAGCCCAGAATAAGGGCCTTCTCTGGCCTTGTAACTTTGTTGCTGGTACGGAACATTTCTTGTGCCTCCAACATTTGCTCTTTCTGCAAACCCATGAGCCATGATTCACCGTACATAAAAATAACTACATGTGAATATAAAGGGATAAAATACACAGTATTCTTTTTTTTATCAGGAGTGAGGAACTAATAGGAGTGGCCTATAGTGTTTATTTCAAATTTAATGTTTTACAACAGAGAACAAACAGAAATAAACTCACAGTGAGTGACAGTCCTCTCTTTTGTTGAGACACTTGCTGTTGTGTGGTGACAGATGCCTGGTTGATGGGAACTTGCTGTGGTTGCTGTGCCTCAGGCTGTGGCACAACAGTGATAACTTGGGTTGCCTGCGATTGTTGTGGCTGTTGTTGAGGTGCCGGTGTAACTGCTGTTGCTGCTGCGAGAGTTGCTGTGGTCAGAGGAGTAGCAGAATACACCAGTTCTGGTTGTACAGGCTGAAACATTATAGCAAAAAGACATATTATATATTGTACATTATAACCACCCAAGAAAGATATATACGACCAATCAGTACCACGTACGCTAGATCCTACTGCCTACGTAACCCACACATTGTAATTACAGCAAATCCCATTAACTTCACCCTTGATAGAATCACAATCCCTAACTTCATGGCAGAGATAAAACAAGATCAAACCATCAACACCTTTAATCTCCAATTATATCTGTGCTAACATATTAACAAATACTAGTAAATAAATTTTTAACCCCAATTACCATTAACTAAAGTTAATAATCATTAATAACTTTATATGACAGAGTAACCATAACTATGGAAAATTTTATGAATGATTCCAGCAAACGGTATCTGTATGAAATGATAACACATGTAAAGTGGTACAGTAGTGAGGTGTCAATCCATATTTATTAAAATCAGCCCTAACTGTGAAAAGACATTAAAAATCCACTATATAATAAATATATTGATAATACAGCTTTCTTATCATCATTCAAGCATTCCAAAAAACAAGTGATGCAATATAATAGTTGTAATTAGATAATTACGGGTAAAAATTCCATAAATAGATAGTCTGGGTGGTCTCTGTAACATTACTCCATTTTTCCCATTACTTTATGTATAGTACTGTATGTACAACTTGAATGAAGCCTTGCATATAAACAGAGTCTACTAGATATAATCAGATGTACAGTATAAGTTTTTTTTAAATTGGCTGATTTGAGAGTGACAAGAAATTCTGTACTGAACTGATCATCACCGCTTACCTGTAGTGTGGCATACTGTGGCTGTCCAACAGTGGTGGGAGTCTCTCCAGAAGTCGGGGTCACTGTAACTGCTGTGGCAGCCTGGACAACTTCTGCTGTAGTAAACACTGGTGTGTGTGTCACTGTTCTGTATACCACTGTGGGAGATCCAGCAGCTTGAGTACTAGGTGTTACAATGATACGCTGAGGTGTTGTCCCACCAGAGGGGGTGGTTGGGGTAGACGGTGTTGCTCTGCCACCAGTATTTGTTGTTTGTTGTAGCGTGGACCGTGCTGATATAGTGCCAACCGCCACAGCACCAGCTGGAATAACAAAACACCTTTACAATCCAAATTATACAAACGACTGGAGCATTTTCTTTAATCCTTTATACTGTATATGTGATGATGGTAAGGTTCGCAATTATGTCTTTATTAATGTTGACAAAGGCAACATTTACTCATTGTAAGCATTTTTCCCTCAATTACCCTTGTCATTTAATGTTTTCTTGGATTCACTACTGTCCTAGAATGTGATTCATAAAATAAAGTTGGAGGAGAGGTGTAAAGTGCTGAAGGGGCGGTGGGCCTCATAAAATGATATGAAGATCATGTAAAGTTTAGAGGAATGAGTAATAATTTGTGATGAATATTAACAAGGAGACGTACTGTGTAGTGTGGACGTTGTTCCGGCAGCCGTAGACAATAACGGAGTGGAGGGCGTCGGGGGACCAGGCGTGGGGGGATTGGAGGGAGTGAGGCCAGCAGCATAGTCTGGGGTTGCCTGCTGCTGCTGTGCCGGCTGCTGTGGTGTCGTCTGCTTCCCCTCGACCTGCTGTTGTTCTCTTCGCTTCTCCTCAGCATCTGCAGCCTTGGCATCAGCCGTGTCTTGTAGCTTTCTTCTTTTCTTGGCCTGGGAGAGTAAAACACATCTTCATTAAAAATAATAATTTCTTCTACAGTTTTTGTTTATTCTCGATTCTGGAATATCAACATAACCATTCCCATGAACTCATAAATTCTTAAATGTCTTTTGTACAATGTCAGATAAATTTCTTTATATTCTATGCAAGATTATTCATTTAATTTACATTATTTTCTTTCTACAGAGGCCCTGGAATGCATCCCTATTATATGATATTGCTTTATGCAAACTACTACAACTTCTTTTTTAGTATACAATTTCCCCAAGTACTGTTTTCCCCAAAAGACTGTGTGTGTGTTTGTGTGTGCATGCATGTGTTAGCCTTACAAACCCCTTCTCCCTCACTTGACAGCCTTACACACCCCTTCCCAAAAGCAGAAAATAATTTATAAGTGAATATGGCATCACTCCTGAGACACTTTCCACACACTCTACCACTCACTAATACTCACCTGTTGAACAGCAATGGGTGATTCTGTTATGTCTAAGAGCTTGATGCCACCGTCTTTACGAGTGACTGTTGAGCGGACAAGTGGCCGGCTGACTGGGGTGGAGCCTAAGCCAGACCCTCTCAAACCAGATCCTGGCAACCGACTGGGGATACCCTTCAGTGGTGCTGTTGAAAGTAATACATAATGGCAGTTAATTACCTTTTCAACAATTCAGTAATGAGGAATTTAAGACAAAACAGGAATATATATAACATGTTTATAGAAGTCATCAAGCTGGAAGGGTAGAAGAAGAATGAGTGGCTTAGGAGTCTCTACTCTCCTCCCACACGTGCAAAAATGAAACACAGGGAACATGAAATCATCCTCTGACGACAGCTAACTTCTACTGCTGACGGCCGCCATCCCTATAGCTAACTTCCACGGATGATGGCCACAGACCCTACAGCCAAGGTCCATTGATGATTGCCGTCATTTTAAGGATTAATAAGTGTATCTGAAGCATTTAAGGGATTTATATATAAGATGAGAGGTTGGCAGTGTCTACTAAGAAGAAAACAGCATGCAAGCATTAATTGTAGGTACGGACTGATGATACCAGGGAGGAAGAGTACAGAGACGTTAGATTATACTTGGGAGGAGTACAGAGATATGTTATATGATACTAGGGAGGAGGAGTACGGAGACGTTAGATTATACGAGGGAGGAAGAGTACAGAGATATTAGATGATACTAGGGAGGAAGAGTACAGAGATATTAGATGATACTAGGGAGGAGGAGTACAGAGATATTAGATGATACTAGGGAGGAAGAGTACAGAGATATTAGATGATACTAGGGAGGAAGAGTACAGAGATATTAGATGATACTAGGGAGGAAGAGTACAGAGATATTAGATGATACTAGGGAGGAAGAGTACAGAGATATTAGATGATACAAGGGAGGAAGAGTACAGAGATATTAGATGATACAAGGGAGGAAGAGTACAGAGATATTAATGGAAACGTTGTCAAAAAGTTTTTAAAGATAACAAGGAGATGTTCAGGAGTGAACTGACGAGGCAACAAAAGAACAGATAGAATAAAACGAAATCATAAAAACTCAATAACCACTGTGATGCTCTAGAGTCTAGTGGTGTTAAAAAATAAACAAATAAATAAAATCTTGATTATGAATTGATCACATTCATGCAATTCAGATCATGCCAAATCACTTAACAATGAAGGTTTCTATATGCTAAAAGTGAAATAAATAAATAAATAAATAAAAATCAGTTGGCTCTTTGGGCATTAATTAACTGATATCATAACTAACAGGTAATAATCTGTCTGTTCCCTTTTTTATGATATTTCTTAAATACTTGCGAGTGACTTGGCTTCTCAAACAAAACAAAGTGAGAGAAATTATTACAAGTCAATTATTTAGCTGCTGCACCTGAGCCATCACATCGCGTACCGGTAACCATACTCAGTGACCTTTATATCCTCTTAACAGTGACCTCAAATCCCAGACTGAAGGATATTGTACTCCAAGTTAATGGTTCTTCAGACAGTACAATGAAAACATAACTTGACAACATGAGTGATGGTAATGAGATGTGTAAATTACTCTACATTTGATAACTGAAACAACATCAGACATTTAAAGCAAACAACTGAAACAAATTAAAAGACTAACTGGTGTCATTCATCTTGCGTGGCATGCCTCTTGAGCGTACAGGGACAGTAGGCAGCTGACTCTTTTTGACATTTGCCTGGGCATCAGATGAACGGTTGAGCAGCTCTGCCCGCAGAGCTGCAGCCTTTGGTTTTCTCTTAAGAGCAAAGTGTTTGGTGAGAGGTGCCTGAAATATGAAACTTCACTTTATACAAAGGACTCTCTACTATCAGTGAAAATTTGGGATGACCTTTCTGCCCGCAACAACCATCAGTCACTTGTCACTACGTACCTGACCGCCTGCAGCAGCCATAAATGCATTTCTGTTGAGGTAGTTGCACTCCATGGGGAGTAAGCCCAGCTCACTGTGCTTCTTAACTAACTTGCGAAGCTCCGTTATCAAGTCGTGTGTAATTCGCTGGTTCTCCGGTGGCTCTCTGTAGAATATGTTAGTAATAGTGACTCACATAACATGACATTGTATCAAAGAAATATTTACAAACCTCTGACACGGTTTTGCTTTATGCCCGGCAGCTCCGCCATATAAGTGTTCTAAAGTCTGGCTACTGTTTTGTATGGTTTATTAGTGTATGAGAGCATTCGCCCTTTTACTTGTTTTCACTGTCATTTTTTTTTTTAATTAATATATCTGACTTTATTTCTACATACTGTTCGGTGCCCATAAATTCCAGTGCAGTATCATACAGTATAAACCTGTAATGGTGATTTTAATGAATAAATAAATGAATAAATATCTGTCTACCTCTAAATTTAAGGAACTATAGATATAAATACGGAGATAAACTGAAATGAGTAAGAAGCAAAGTAACTAAATTTTTACCTGATGTCCAGGTTGAGGTTACCGGAGGATGGACAAGTTCGCATGATCTCAGCCAACATGGCCACCCAGGGTTCACTGTCCACCACTGCCACCTCCAGGATCTCCTCCAGCTCTGACCGCCACTGTAAATAACACATAACTCATATATACAGAGTCACTTCTCCCTTATACTAAACTACATAATATACATAGTTAGTATCATATTGAACCAACACAACCATCCGACTACCAGATCAAAGTAAAACAAAGGTACTGTATCTTACTGCTAAACTATGACAGTAACACAAAACATCAAGCCTGTCCCTACAATATGGTGACAAGTCAGATGATTAATCAAACTCCAGACATTAATTTACATTACAGAAAGGACAAACAAAAAAGAGTTAATCAGAATACTGTACTGTAATACAATTTAACTGAAGAGAAAATTGGGTGTTACTGTATTGTGCAGTCTATAAAATGTTTAGGTTAGGTTAGGTTTGATTTGGTTGAGTTAGGTTTGGTTAAGTTAACTAGGGTTAGGTTAGGTTACACTAAAGATATTTTTGTAATAATATATATAATCTGAGCAGAAAGTTAGGTCGCGATAGGGCCGACGAACAAAATTCTCGCATAAATAAATTCACATGTTGTGAAGGCTGTCCCGGGACGCGAGATGTTAGTAAGCTTGGTTGGTTGGCAAGTGGTGACACTTGGCAACTGAGCACACGTCACGGCTTACTTTCAGTGCGCCTCTGGCAATCATGAGGGGAATATTAACTCTGCGGGTTTGAGCGCCCCGTGGCCATTTTTTGCCTCGTTTACGGTGCATTACCCCGACATACTGGCCATCAGAGATGCCCAGGAGGGTTACTATAAGGGATGACATTGCAGCAGTGATTGCATTGTACAAAGCAAACCATGACCTGAGAGATATTTCTGCTCAGACTGGTGTGGGGTTGTGTGTTGTGCAGAAACTTGTGAAGTGTTACCGTGAGCTTGGAGAGGACGTGTTACCAGCTCCCCTACCCATGTCTGGTAGGCCTAAATTATTGTCTCTACGGACACTTCAGGTTATTTCATGCCAAGTTAAGTCCATTCCCGCCCTCACAGCACGCGAAGTGAAAGAGAGAAGCCCCTGTCTTCTCAGCCACGTCTCCTTACGCTGTGTTCGGCAATCCTTACATGATGACCTTGGGTTTAAGAGCTTCCGTGCACCGTCGTAAACCTCTACTGACAAAGAGACAGAAGAAAAATAGAGAAATTTTGCAAGAAATATGCAGTGTGGGGTTTAGAGTCAAGGAGGAGTGTTTCGTGGTCTGACGAGGCTACGTTTTCTGTGACTGGCAATGGTGGAGGGAGGGCGTACTGCCCTCCTCACTCGGATGCACATCTCCCACAGTACACAGTGAAGAATGTCAAGCACCCTGCCTCGCTTATGGTTTGGGCTTGCTTTTCATATTATGGTGTTGGCAAACTCGTAATCCTCCCTTGGAGCCAGATGATGAATCAGTACAACTATCTTGAGCTGCTCAGTGATTTCTTAGCTGAAACATTTGATAAAGCTAAGGCAAGCCTTTTCATGCAGGACGGTGCCCCAAGCCACACGGCTAAAAGTGTCATACAGTGGCTCAAAGACTGTGAGGTACCTTTCTTTAACCCTTTAGGTGCGTAATTAAATTTCGCGCCGGTTCCTGAAAAGTGTCAATTATCCTGCCAAAAATGAATTTCATATAATCACATTTTCTATACGTTTTTCCGAGAGAACTTTTAGTATATTTTCCAAATCTGGAACAAAAATTCACATATGTGTGCAAATTTTAGAGAAAAAATGACATTTATACCCAAAAATGCAGGAAATTGGTATAAATCAATGTCTGGTATATGGCAAATAAATTTAATCAATTTGGTTACTAAACAGCAAATTTAGATATGTATTACATATTCAGATAATATCAAACAAAATAGTACAAAAATAAGCTATATTGCATTCAGGAAATACTCCTATACCTCAATACATAATATGTCCGCATGTCGTCTCATTTGGGGAAGTTTTTTCAAGGCCGTGGGATATCCCCGCTTGTCGCATTTAATTAATATAATATTTTGGGCGGGTTTACCCGCATGTCGCATCCAAAGGGTTAATGACTGACCTGGCAGTAGCCCAGATCTCAACCCAATAGAAAATTTGTGGTTCATTGTTAAGCGTCGTCTGCGCGACGCTGACATGTCAACAATCCCGAAGCTAGAGGCAGCTATCAAGAATATCTGGGCTAACTTGCCACCTGACCTCTTGCTAAACTTTGCTAAAGGACTGCCTGAAGCGCAAAGGGAACATTACAAAGTATTAATTGAAGTGGTAAATGTTACTTGACTGTATTTATATAACATAACAGTAAATATGCATTTTTTTAGCATACGAACTAACTTTCCGCACAGACTGTATAGTGTGACTAGGGGACAGGTGTACACAAACGGTACACATAAGTACTCATACACATAACACCATGTACTACACAAATGGCACTGTACACAAACAATGAAATTACTAACACACAAACAAGAGTACTCAGTATTGTACACAAATAATGAGTACATAAATAATATAGTACAATAGTATACATACAGTTAATTAGTGAACAAGATAGTACGTTAGTAAACAAGTGTACTTATAAAGAATAGTGCACTTTTAAGCAATAGGGTACACTTAAAAACAAACATTCAAACACAAAAACACTATAGTACACAAGTCAATAAAACACTCTTACATAATCACATCTCAACAACATAAACAGTCAAACAAAAGTTGAGTCGAGTACAGTTGGGGCCACCCTGTACCTGTTAGCGAGATACAGGCATAACTGTACTCTCTATCTACATGTTTAACCAATTATAAACTTGTTATGATGATTTTAATGAATAAATATCGGTATATCTATACGTCTATTAGTCTATCTATCCACAACACAACACTCTGCCTCACCTCCTCAACATTGCGCTTAGGGATGTGGAAGAAAGACAGCAGTAATTTTAGTTTAACTTGGGTCTGGAGTTCAACAAAGCATTCCTTTATATTCCTGAGCACTTCTACATTCAGCTGTGCACATATAGAGCCCTCAGACCAGGTGTCGGCGGATGTTCCCAGTTTATTGTGAAGCCACAACGAAATATCGCTGTCCCGAGCAGCCGCCATTGTGGGTGTCCCATTAGTGACGTCACGGTATGTGTGGCAGCCATCTTGATGACATCACCACCCGCCAAGTTCGACCTGATGGCAAACACCGGTTTTTTTTATTCAGCAAATTGTCATACAAGTTCACAATTGTGCATACATACACCGCAGCGTACCGAGTGGAGTGGTCATCCACTAACTCCATATATGTACAGTACATTGACTAAGTGATGCCCTTTGGGGTGCTTATTTAGAGAAATTAAGAACCAAACGGACTGTTTAGAGCTACAGGAAGATCTGTTAAGTTAGGTTAGGTTAGGTTAGTGGTGTTGGTAGTAGTGGTAATACAGTAGTATTGATTATACACCCCAACTTATCTTACTTGAAGATTAAACACCCTAACGTAAGCTAACTAATTTTTAACCTTGAGCATAATAATATTTAACCATGAAGTAACCATATAATTGGTTAGGTTAAGTTAAGTCATGTCAAGTCAGGTTAGTGTTGTGATAGGTTATGATTGTGTTAGGTTAATATTATGTTAAGTTACCGTTACTTAAGATTAATATTAGGTTAATCTTGCCAGGGGTGTATTGTCAACTAATAGGGATATTAACCTGGGGGGGGGGGAGGGTTCACTTGTTAATATATCGGGAATTGTAAACTCTTGGTACTATCTACCAGTGTGTTGTGATGGCACCGAGTGTGAGCCCATTCAAGACCAGACTTGACCAACACTGGAGCTGGTTCAGATACATTCTTGAGCCAGTACATACCCAATACTTGCCATAGTGTGTAACAGTGACGTGGCCGATCGACCAAACGGCTAACAGACCGATCAGTGGCGGAGAGGAAAAAGTAAAGTGTTATACCGAGAAGAGGACTTGGCAGTGAATGGCTGGTTCAGGGCAAAATTGACCTGTATTCGTCACCTACGACCCCTGTGTGGTCCGTGGCGTCACCTACGACCCCTGAGTGGTCCGTGGCGTCACCTACGACCCCTGTGTGGTCCGTGGCGTCACCTACGACCCCTGAGTGGTCCGTGGCGTCACCTACGACCCCTGAGTGGTTCTTGACGTCACCTACGACCCTTGTGTGGTTCTTGACGTTACCTACGACCCCTGTGAGGTTCTTGACGTCACCTACGGCCCCTGTGTGGTTCTTGACGTCACCTAAGACCCCTGTGTGGTTCTTGACATCACCTACGACCCCTGAGTGGTCCGTGGCGTCACCTACGACCCCTGAGTGGTTCTTGACGTCACCTACGACCCCTGAGTGGTTCTTGACGTCACCTACGACCCCTGTGTGGTTCTTGACGTCACCTACGACCCCTGTGTGGTCCGTGGCGTCACCTACGACCCCTGTGTGGTTCTTGACGTCACCTACGACCCCTGAGTGGTTCTTGACGTCACCTACGACCCCTGAGTGGTTCTTGACGTCACCTACGACCCCTGTGTGGTTCTTGACGTCACCTACGACCCCTGAGTGGTCCGTGGCGTCACCTACGACCCCTGAGTGGTTCTTGACGTCACCTACGACCCCTGTGTGGTTCTTGACGTCACCTACGACCCCTGTGTGGTTCTTGACGTCACCTACAACCCCTGTATGGTCTGTGACGTCACCTACAACCAGTCTACGATTCTAAGTCGAATAATTAGTTTCATCTTGCTTCTAATTAATCCTTCCTAAAAAGCTGTTTTGATTTTGTCCACCAATTGGTGTATTTCATAAAACAACAAATCTTTCATAATATTTCACTATCTCCCGATATGAAATAAGTTTGCATGTTGATGTGTTGATACTTCGCAACGTGAGTCTGCAAGTGAAACAAAACAAATTAGACTATTATGCCAAGGTAAGGCAAACAGAAAATACCATTACTTTCCAAATTACCTCAAATATATATTGTTTTAGTTTGCATTAATGTATACTGAGTGTATTATCAGTGTATGAGGTTCAGTATAGGAAACTTACACAAGCTAACTAAATGTAGACTTTACACTGACTAAGTATGCTCGTATATATATATAAACTTGCACACTTGCCAATGGAGCAGTTGACGCCGGACACAGTTGGCGCGCACACGCTCTACTTCACCAACCCCGAGATAATATATTATTTCTCATCAACAACCACCTTACAATATGTGACGCTGTGTGACGCTGAAAATATGTTAATTAGGAAAGTTAATTGTAATTTATATCCTCCCGGAGTGATAAATTTAACAATGACAAGTACTGTGGTATGGTGTCAGTGTTGCCAATAATCTTTCCTCCCCCAAAAAACATCCTTAATATCCCATCATTGCCAACGTAAAAAAAAAAAAAAAAAAGCAGGTTAGTTTCACCAATTTTTATTCTGTTTAAGACACAACATAATTATCTTCTCTGGTTACCTGTTTCTTAAGGCCAATTATGTCAGGTAAACAGGTGCCATATTGTCCTTGATAGTAACTTTTTTGGGGTCGCCATTTGCAATCTTCTGGTAGGTAAGGATGCATTGTGGTCATTAATAACAAAATAATAGCTTTCATGATAACAGTGAGACTAACAATTAAAAAATACGTCAAATATCAATAATACTAATAGTTCTTTGTTATATATACTACAAATGGTATTGCTAGTAGGATTTGATTTTTAATTAATGAGTGATAAAGATTAAAACGATATAAATGATTTTGGTTTCGAACAAGCGATATATACCCGAACGTCTCGTCTCCACCCCCTCCCATCTCCACCTTTACCCCCTCCCATCTCCACCTTTACCCCCTCCCATCTCCACCTTTACCCCCTCCCATCTCCACCTCCATCTCCACCTTTACCCCTCCATCTCCACCTTTACCCCTCCATCTCACCTTTCCCCTCCCATCTCACCTTTCCCTCCATCTCCACCTTTACCCCTCCCATCTCCATACCCTCCCATCTCCACCTTTACCCCTCCCATCTCCACCTTTACCCTCCCATCTCCACCTTTACCCCCTCCATCTCCACCTTTACCCCTCCATCTCCACCTTTACCCCCTCCCATCTCACCTTTACCCTGTCTCCACCTTTACCCCTCCCATCTCCACCTCCACCTCTCCATTCCACCTCCACCCTCCCATCTCCACCTTACCCCTCCCATCTCCACCTTTACCTCCTCCTCCCGTCTCCACCTTTACCCCTCCCATCTACCTCCACCTCCCATCTCCACCTTTACCCCTCCCATCTCCACTTTACCTCCTCCCTGTCTCACCTTTACCCCCTCCCATCTCCACCTCCACCTCCCATCTCCACCTTACCCTCCCATCTCTACCTCCTCCCTCCCCTACTCGAGAATATCCAACATAGTCACTTTAATTAGAATTTGTTTACATTGGTGACGTATCAGTGACGCAACAGTACCGTCAACTCTCCCATGCGGTTACTAGTAATGAACGTGTTTACATTGGTGACGTATTATTAAAGAAATTTCTCCATGTTTCTTATTACCAGAGGCTACACATTATTAAAGAATATAGTTTGTTACAGAGAAATTGCCATATACCAGAGGAAATGTGGTTAGATTAGGATAGGTTGGTTTGGTTTGGTTTGGTTTAGGTTGGGTTTGGTTTGGTTTAGGTTGGGTTGGGTTTGGTTTAGGTTGGGTTTGGTTTGGTTTAGGTTGGGTTTGGTTTGGTTTAGGTTGGGTTTGGTTTTTGTTGGGTTGGGTTTGGTTGTTTAGGTTTGGTTTGGTTAGGGTTTGTTTAGGTTGGGTTTGGTTTTGGTTGGGTTTGGTTTGGTTGAGTTTTAGGTTGGGTTTAGGTTTGGTTTGGTTTGGTTTGGTTTAGGTTTGGTTTGGTTTGGTTTAGGTTTGGTTTGGTTTGGTTTAGGTTGGGTTTGGTTTTGGTTGGGTTGGTTTAGTACAGGAAAAGTTAGATATATAGGTTAGGTTAGATAAGTCATACTTGGTTCTGGGGACCCCCACCGTTGGCGACACCAAGTATGTGGGCAGCGCGCCAATATATGAATGGTGTGAACGACTCTGATGCCATTACCAGATAAATATTTTTATACATTAATAATTTCGATCCTAATTGCTGATATATTTTCGTCTTATTAACCTTTTCATTATTATTTAGTATGTAATGTAATTTTCACCTGAATGTACAGTGTGTGTGTGTGTGTGTGTGTGTGTGTGTGTGTGTGTGTGTGTGTGTGTGTGTGTATGTGTGTTTCATGTGTACATTATGGCATGAGAGACAGAGAGAATGACTGTGTGTGTGTGTGTGTGTGTGTGTGTGTGTGTGTGTGTGTGTGTGTGTGTGTGTGTGTGTGTGTGTGTGTGTGTGTGTGTGTGTCCCCCGGGAAGAACCTCATTGTCAGATCTACTTGTGTAACAATACTCCCTCCTGCAACTAGTCTTAGTGGGGTGGGGGGTAGTGAGAGAGGGATAATGATGGAGGAAGTAGAGAGGGAAGGAGCGGGGGGAGGGAGGAGGGAGGAGGTAGTGGGGAAGGAGAGAGAAGAGGGGAGGGAGGAGAAGGTAGCGAGAGGAGAGAGAGGTAAAACAGGCCCCACACGTGCAGGGAACAACGCAGTGCATTCGAGTGTTGCAGAAATTACAATACTTTTTAACTAAACACTAAAAGACGTTGGTTTAATAAGCTTATCTACCGCCAGAACTGATGTTAACAGAGATAGATAGGAAGATATTCAGTAAAACAGTCATAAAAGTTCACAATTAGTTCAATGCAGGAGTACAGTTCAGCATACAATCCAGGAGTATACTTCAGCATGTAGGTATACAGTATATATGACCATAGAAGTATACAATCATCAATGTACTACCTAAACAATGTACTACTTAAACAATGTACTACCTAAACAATGTACTACCTAAACAATGTACTACCTAAACAATGTACTACCTAAACAATGTACTACTTAAACAATGTACTACCTAAACAATGTACTACTTAAACAATGTACTACCTAAACAATGTACTACCTAAACAATGTACTACTTAAACAATGTACTACTTAAACAATGTACTACCTAAACAATGTACTACTTAAACAATGTACTACCTAAACAATGTACTACTTAAACAATGTACTACTTAAACAATGTACTACCTAAACAATGTACTACTTAAACAATGTACTACCTAAACAATGTACTACTTAAACAATGTACTACCTAAACAATGTACTACCTAAACAATGTACTACCTAAACAATGTACTACCTAAACAATGTACTACTTAAACAATGTACTACCTAAACAATGTACTACCTAAACAATGTACTACCTAAACAATGTACTACCTAAACAATGTACTACTTAAACAATGTACTACCTAAACAATGTACTACCTAAACAATGTACTACCTAAACAATGTACTACCTAAACAATGTACTACCTAAACAATGTACTACCTAAACAATGTACTACTTAAACAATGTACTACCTAAAACAATGTACTACCTAAACAATGTACTACTTAAACAATGTACTACCTAAACAATGTACTACCTAAACAATGTACTACTTAAACAATGTACTACTTAAACAATGTACTACCTAAACAATGTACTACCTAAACAATGTACTACCTAAACAATGTACTACTTAAACAATGTACTACCTAAACAATGTACTACCTGTAACAATGTACTACTAAACAATGTACTACTAAACAATGTACTACTTAAACAATGTACTACCTAAACAATGTACTGTACTAGTACTACCTAAACAATGTACTACCTAAACATGTACTACCTAAACAATGTACTACCTAAACAACAAACAATGTACTACCTAAACAGTACTAAACAATGTACTACTAAACAATAAACAAACAATGTACTACCTAAACAATAGCCTACCCTAAACAATGTACTACAATGTACTACCTAAACAATGTACTACTTAAACAATGTACTACCTAAACAATGTACTACCTAAACAATGTACTACTTAAACAATGTACTACTTAAACAATGTACTACCTAAACAATGTACTACCTAAACAATGTACTACCTAAACAATGTACTACTTAAACAATAAGGCAATTCGACCATGGATACCCAACAAAGCCATGGGATACACTAGTAGGGTTCTTGACTTATGCTTGGCTGCTAATCCATAATAATCTAAATTAGTGTATAATGAAACCTACAGTATGAATAATTATATATACCCACACCTGTTAATTATATACCTACACCTGTTAATTATATACCCACACCTGTTAATTATATACCTACACCTGTTAATTATATACCCACACCTGTTAATTATATACCCACACCTGTTAATTATATACCTACACCTGTTAATTATATACCCACACCTGTTAATTATATACCCACACCTGTTAATTATATACCTACACCTGTTAATTATATACCCACACCTGTTAATTATATACCCACACCTGTTAATTATATACCTACACCTGTTAATTATATACCCACACCTGTTAATTATATACCCACACGTTAATTATATACCCACACCTGTTAATTATATACCCACACCTGTTAATTATATACCTACACCTGTTAATTATAAACACACACCTGTTAATTATATACCCCACACCTGTTAATTATATACCCACACCTGTTAATTATATACCCACTCCTGTTAATTATATACCTACACCTGTTAATTAGTATAGATTACCTTGCTCAGTGGACTCTAGGTATGTATTTTAGTACGTAATGTGAAGACGTTTTGGAATACGTGAAAAATAGATACCCCAGTTTATTTCACCTGATGATTAAACACCCCGAACAATAGCCTAAGCTGAGCTACCCTAACCTAACCTAAAATAACATAACCTAAACTAACCTAACCTAAAATAACATAACCTAAACTAACCTAACCTAAAATAACATAACCTAAACTAACCTAACCTAAAATAACATAACCTAAACTAACCTAACCTAAAATAACATAACCTAAACTAACCTAACCTAAAATAACATAACCTTAACTAACCTAACCTAAAATAACATAACCTAAACTAACCTAACCTAAAATAACATAACCTAAACTAACCTAACCTAAAATAACATAACCTAAACTAACCTAACCTAAAATAACATAACCTAAACTAACCTAACCTAAAATAACATAACCTAAACTAACCTAACCTAAAATAACATAACCTAAACTAACCTAACCTAAAATAACATAACCTAAACTAACCTAACCTAAAATAACATAACCTAAACTAACCTAACCTAAAATAACATAACCTAAACTAACCTAACCTAAAATAACATAACCTAAACTAACCTAACCTAAAATAACATAACCTAAACTAACCTAACCTAAAATAACATAGACAAATAATTTGCCGTATGCTAATAGCTTGTCATAGGTTAAAATTATATTCACGTTGACAGGCGGAGGAACTATACCCCCCTTTGCTGGCTGTAGTGACGTAAACAAACACCCAAGAAGGAAGAAGAAAGAGGAAGAAGAGGAGGAGGAGGAGGAGGAAGAAGAGGAAGAGGGGGAAGAGGAGGAAGAAGAGGACTTATCAAGAGGAAGGAAACAGGAAAGGGAAGGTCATCATGACAGGGTTAGACAGCAAAGCGCCCCTCAGAGGAGTAAGGAGAGTTCAATTCGGCATTCTCAGTCCCGATGAAATTGTGAGTGTTATTCCTTTCTCACACACACACACACACACACACACACACACACACACACACACACACACACACACCATACCCTCGTACATTAATAATAAATTTAGGCATCAAATAATATTTATGACGACGAGTACGGAATTTTGGAACACCCTGTATGTTTACATGACGCCATAAATAGTAGGGCCGGGTGATGTTTGTGGTCATAATACAGGCCTAGTCCACCAGAAGGCCCACAAGTAGGCCACAAGTTACTACCAATAATTCTAACTGCTCAGTGGAGACGTGTGTGGTATGTGTGTTGGGGAGTGGAGTTACTTTTAGAACATTGTGTATTTATATTCTGGAAGTGATTTGTTGTAGTGTCTCAAATATAACTTCATGGGTGGGGTGGGTGGGGGGATATCCAGATGAATATATATATATATATATATATATATATATATATATATATATATATATATATATATATATATATATATATATATATATATATATAGAGAGAGAGAGAGAGAGTTTGGTCACCTTTTCTACAGTCTTGCTCTACTTCTACAGTTTTTGGTCTTTTTTCTAAAGTTTTGGGTTATTTTTTTTTAGTTTTTTAGTTTTAGTCACGTTTTCTACAGTTTGGGCCATAATAATTTAAGACCTTTTCTACAGCTTGATTCACCATTCCAAAACTTCTCCCACAGCGTCACATGTCAGTCACCGAAGGAGGCATCAAATACTCGGAGGTGTACGAGAACGGCCGCCCGAAATTAGGTGGGTTGATGGATCCTCGCCAAGGTTGTCTAGATCGTAACACCCGCTGTACGACCTGTGCCGGCAACATGACCGATTGTCCAGGTCACTTTGGTCATCTTAATCTGGCCAAACCCGTCTTTCATGTGGGTTTCCTCACCAAGACTGTCAAGATTATCCGCTGTGTGTGTTTCTACTGTAGCAAGCTGTTGTTTAATACGGTGAGTCGAGTTTTGTTTTACTCTACGTTTCTGTAATGTGTTGTAACTTACTGTATAACCTTCTACTGTAATATAATTTCTATAACTCTCTATTATAATCTACTGTAACCTATTGTAATCCTCGACTGTAACCTACAGGAAAATGTCACAGTATTAAAATGATACAAAATATTACTTTGGCTTTATAAAGAACAACAACAACACAATCTCTCTGCCACAACAACAACACAATCTTCCTTCCTCCTGCAGCAACACCCCAAGATAAGAGAGATCGTAACCAAGTCGAAAGGTCAGCCCAGGAAGAGACTGTTACACGTGTACAATCTTTGCAAGGGGAAGATGATCTGTGAAGGAGGGGACGAGGTGGACATAACCAAGGACCCAGACGACCCAACCAAGATTAAGAAAACGCAAGGACATGGTGGTTGTGGGAGGTAGGGATGGATGGAGAGATAGAATGAGAATAAAATCGTTATATAAGGTCAGGTATACAGACGATGTACTACAGAGCAACATATATATTACAGGTATCAACCCAATGTGAAGCGAGTGGGCCTTGAGCTGGTAGCGGAGTGGAAACACGTCAACGAGGACACGCAGGATCGGAAACAGTCCGTCACGGCAGAGAGAGTCCACGAGATATTCAGGCATATCTCTGGTGTGTGGGTGTGGTTGTGGGTTACTTACTTAAACAAACCAACAAAGTATTGATTCTTCATTCACGTCCACTACTGTATTAAATATCCTAGCACTATCCTAACGTATCCCCTCCCCCCCTTAATTAATCATTAGGGTGTTTTAATCATCAGGTGCAATAAGCTGGGGATCCTAATCTTCATAAGATTCATTACTTGTTACTGATGTGTTATAGATGAAGACTGTTACTTGCTGGGGATGGATCCTAAGTTCGCCCGCCCTGACTGGATGATCATGACAGTACTGCCCGTGCCGCCGCTGCCAGTCCGACCGGCCGTGGTGATGTATGGTTCAGCCCGTAACCAAGACGACCTCACGCACAAACTCGCAGACATCATCAAATCCAACAATGAACTGATCCGTAATGAACAGTCTGGCGCAGCCGCTCACGTCATCGCGGAGAACATCAAGAGCTTACAGTTTCACGTCGCTACCATGACGGATAACGACATGCCCGGTATGCCCAGGGCTCTGCAGAAATCTGGACGTCCGCTCAAGGCTCTCAAATCACGCCTGAAGGGTAAGGAAGGCCGGATACGAGGTAACCTGATGGGTAAGAGAGTGGATTTCTCCGCCCGGACGGTTATCACAGCCGACCCCAACCTACGGATCGACCAAGTGGGAGTCCCTCGCTCCATCGCTCAGAACCTCACCTACCCAGAGATTGTCACACCCTTCAATATCACCAAGTGAGTTCATGGTCTTCTTCTTACTCATGTTATTGTTAAATCATCATCGCTAATTAGAAACCGAAACGATTTATTTACCCATAAGTTAAAGGTACAATTCATACAGTATGGTTTTCACATGTTGGGTTATATAGGTTTAAGCAAATGACATAATTTAGTCACATTCACCATCATCAATTCTCTCTTACAGGATGATGGAGCTGGTTAAGAGAGGTAACAATCAGTACCCAGGAGCTAAATATATAATGAGGGATAACGGTGCCCGTATTGACCTCCGCTATCACCCAAAACCCTCCGACCTCCACCTTCAGTGTGGGTATAAGGTGGAGCGACACATTACCGACGGTGACCTGATCATCTTCAACAGGCAACCTACCCTACATAAAATGTCCATGATGGGTCACAAGGTCAAGGTAGGTCACAGAGGGTTATAAGGTCGTGGTGGGTTACAGGGTTATGATAGATCTCAGTCATGATAGGTCAATGAAAAGGGGGTTTAAATAGTCATATCATTATCCCACAGGTGTTACCGTGGTCCACCTTCCGCATGAACCTATCCGTGACGTCGCCATACAACGCGGACTTCGACGGGGATGAAATGAACCTCCACGTGCCTCAGAGTATGGAGACCCGCGCGGAGATCGAGAACCTCCACCTTACCCCCAGAATGGTCGTCACCCCGCAATCTAATAGACCAGTCATGGGTATTGTGCAGGACACCCTAACTGCTGTCCGTAAGATGACCAAGAGGGACGTGTTTCTTGATAAGGTAAGGCAATAGGTGGGTGCATCTCTCTCGCTCATTGGCTAACTTCAGTAGTTTTGTTGGTGTTATGTTCCATTTTATGTGTCCTGTGTCCTACTTGTTGGAGATAAGTGATATAGATGTCTCTTACCTGTTGGAGATAGATATTGCAGATATGTCCTATTTGTTGGAGATAGGTGATGTGTCCTCCTCCCTACAGGCTGAAATGATGAACCTCCTCATGTTCCTGCCAATCTGGGATGGCCGGATGCCTCACCCGGCCATACTCAAACCTAAACCGCTGTGGACAGGCAAGCAGCTCTTCTCCCTCATCATCCCAGGTAACTTGAACCTGGTGAAGACCCACGCCACTCACCCTGACGACGAGGACGACGGCCCCTACAAGTGGATCTCTCCTGGGGACACCAAGGCAAGACCCAGATTACACACCTCGACTTATTTCACATAATGATTAAATATCCTAATGCTACCAAGAGGAATTAGGTTAGGTTATCATTAGGGTGATTAATCCTTAGTTGAAATAACCTAAGTCCCCCAAGTAGTGTTAGGTTGGTTAATCTTCAGGTGAAATAAGTTGGGAAACCTAATCTTCATAAGGTAAAAATTTAGTGCATTACTCACTAAGGTATTATAGTACATAGATGACTTGATGATTAGACACCTCAGCTTACATCACATAATGGTTCAACATAATAAAAGTTATTTGGAGAGTTAGGTTAGGTTTTAGTTAGGTTAAGGTAAATAGTTAAGTGTTAACCTTGATGAGTTTTGCAGGTGCTGGTGGAACACGGGGAGCTCATCATGGGTATCCTGTGTAAGAAGACCCTTGGGGCTTCCTCGGGGTCCATGATGCACTTGTCATGGATGGAGCTGGGTCATGAGATCGCTGGTCGCTTCTACGGTAACATCCAGACTGTGGTCAACAATTGGCTACTGCTGGAGGGTCACAGTATTGGCATCGGTGACACCATCTCCGACCCCAACACCTACAGGGTCATCCAGGACACCATCAAGAAGGCCAAGGAGGACGTGATAGAGGTGATCCACAAGGCTCACAACGACGAGCTGGAGCCCACACCCGGCAACACACTCAGGCAGACCTTCGAAAATCAGGTCAATCGCATCCTCAACGATGCCCGTGACAAGACTGGAGGCTCTGCCAAGAAGTCGTTGACGGAGTATAACAACCTGAAGGCCATGGTGGTGGCAGGGTCCAAGGGCTCCAACATTAACATCTCTCAGGTTATTGCTTGTGTGGGGCAGCAGAATGTTGAGGGTAAGAGGATTCCCTTCGGATTTCGCAAGAGAACATTGCCTCACTTCATCAAAGATGACTACGGTCCAGAATCTCGTGGTTTCGTAGAGAATTCCTACCTGGCCGGCCTTACACCCTCAGAGTTCTACTTTCATGCCATGGGAGGTCGCGAGGGTCTAATTGATACCGCCGTTAAGACCGCCGAGACGGGCTACATCCAGCGGCGCCTGATCAAGGCCATGGAGAGTGTGATGGTCAACTATGATGGCACGGTGAGGAACAGTGTCAGTCAGGTGATCCAGCTCAGGTATGGAGAGGACGGCCTTGCGGGAGAGTTCGTTGAATTCCAGAATCTGCCCACTATCAAACTCTCCAATCGACGTTTTGATGATCGCTATCGCTTCGAAGCGTCCAACGAACGCTACTTGAGGAAGCTCTTCACGGAGGAGGTGGTGCGAGAGATCCTGGGCTCCCCTGACGCCATCAACATCCTGGAGGGTGAGTGGCAGCATCTGCAAGAGGACAGACAGACCCTCCGACAGGTCTTCCCCAAGGGTGACACTAAGGTAAACTGTTCTACCACAAGAATTCTCTATAATCACACCATAAAGTCTCGGAGGAGTAAGGCAGTTATCTCACTTGTTCATAAACTTTGCCACAATGCACAGAAGTACTTCTCAAAAAAGGAATTATTATTCCTTTTTGTTTCATAATTTTATTGAATTCACTGACACACTGTACATGACATATCAACTGTAACAAGAGTTAAATATATGGTTAGTATCATCATAGTCTTATAAAAGACGACCATAATTATTAGCTGCTAAGATAAACAAATAATATATAACTCACACGTGTTGGCACAGGTGGTGTTGCCGTGTAACTTGGAGCGGATGATCTGGAACGTGCAGAAGATCTTCCACATCAACAAGAGGACCCAGACAGATCTATCACCTGTGCGGGTGGTGGAGAGTATCCAGACGATGCTGGATAAGTGTGTCATTGTGTCCGGCAACGACCGCATCAGCAAGCAGGCCAATGAGAATGCCACCTTCCTGTTCCAATGTTTGGTGAGGTCCACACTGTGCACCAAGAAGGTTGCCGAGGAATACAAACTCACCACAGAGGCTTTCAACTGGCTTATAGGAGAGATCGAGACCAGATTCAACCAGGCCACCGTGAGTAATGGTTCATCCTTCCTGTAGAGATTGATAGATAGATAGGTAGGGAAATAGATAGAACAGAAAGATACTCGGTAAAAATACTCATACAAATGACACTGATGTAGCATGATCATAAACAGTGTAGGTATAAAAATAATGTACACAGACAATGTAAGTACTACTGTATACAAAAAAAGTCATCAGGGACTAGCCGTAAAATATCAGAATTAGTGTGGTCATGACATTATTTTGTCTTTTACAATAACAGATGTGTGTCTGTACAGTAAGTTAATGTTATGTGTCTTGGTGGTACTGTACTTCAGGCAGTGCCGGGAGAGATGGTGGGTGCCCTGGCTGCTCAGTCCCTGGGAGAACCTGCCACACAGATGACCCTCAACACTTTCCACTTCGCCGGCGTCTCCTCCAAAAACGTAACCCTGGGTGTGCCCCGCCTCAAGGAGATCATCAACATCAGCAAGAAACCCAAGGCGCCCTCCCTCACCGTGTTCCTGGTGGGCGCCGCTGCCAGGGACGCCGAGAAGGCCAAGAATGTCCTGTGTCGCATGGAGCACACCACCCTCAAGAAGGTCAGCTCACTTTTCATGGCTTAGAATGATTTAGATTACACACACCTAAAGTGAGACTGTCATTTAGGTTGTCAGAAGTTAAGTCGGAGATTCTTGTAATATTTTTGATAGATAACCACCCTAGACACATGATAACCACCCTAGACACACGATAACCACCCAAGACACATGATAACCACCCTACACCTATGATAACCACCCAAGATATCTTTTAATCACCAATACCTGAACTGTACCTTGATCGTTCTCTCTACAGGTGACCTCGAACACAGCCATCTACTACGATCCAGACCCTCAGAACACAGTGGTGGCGGAGGACCAGGAGTTTGTTAATGTCTACTATGAGATGCCTGACTTCGATGTTTCTAGGATCTCCCCCTGGTTGTTGAGGATTGAACTGGATAGGAAGAAGATGACAGGTAGGATGGAGGATTGAACAGGAAAAGGAAGGTAATATGTAGACAGAAAGTATGAAGGATTAAACTGGATAGGAATAATATGAGAGGAAGGATAAAGGAATCAAAAGAGAGAGAAAATCTTAGTAGCCTGTAGATATCTTTCTGTTGACAACATAAGACGTTAAGTTAGACGTATTTCTACTAACAATATAATAGTAGATTTCTAACAAGACAATCATTGACTACACCAGATAAGAAGTTGACAATGGAACAAATCTCCCAGAAGATCAACTCAGGGTTCGGCGACGACCTCAACTGTATCTTCAACGATGACAACGCTGAAAAACTGGTACTGAGGATTCGTATTATTGTGGGCGATGACAAGTTGACTGACGAACCCGAAGAGCAGGTTAGTTTGTGTGCACATGGTCATTTAATACCTCCCCCTTGATTACGATACTGACCTCCTGTAGTATAATCCCATGAGTACAATGCTGGCCTGAGTACAACAAATTTATTCCTGGAGTACCAATAATTTAACCCCTTGATTACAGTAGCTTCACCCCTTGAGTTTGGTGTTTTACCCAATCAAATACAATACTTTATTCAGGTGAGTATGATGGCTTTATACTCTCTATGGGATTAATGGGAAAGTGATTCAGTTTTGTGTCTTGTAGGGTGACAGTGTGTTGAAAGTTGTAATTGTAAGTGTGAGTGATGAAAGTTGTAATTGTAAGTGAGTGATGAAAGTTGTAATTGTAAGTGTGAGTGATGAAAGTTGTAATTGTAAGTGTGAGTGATGAAAGTTGTAATTGTAAGTGTGAGTGATGAAAGTTGTAATTGTAAATGTGAGTGATGAATGTTGTAATTGTAAATGTGACTGTTGTATGCTGTTTTTGTACATTGACTTCATCATTCAGGTGGACAAGATGGAGGACGACACCTTCCTGAGGTGTATTGAGGCGAACATGCTGAACGACCTCACCTTGCAGGGCATCGAGTCCATCTCCAAGGTGTACATGCACTTGCCACAGACCGACGAGAAGAAACGAATCATCATCAACGAACCTGGTGAATTCAAGGCCATAGCAGAGTGGTTGTTGGAGACTGACGGCACAGCACTCATGAAAGTCCTCTCTGAGCGCGACGTCGATCCCATAAGGACGTCCTCCAATGACATCCTGGAGGTATTCGAGGTCTTGGGAATCGAGGCGGTGAGGAAGTGTATCGAGAAGGAGATGAACGCCGTCCTCATGTTCTACGGTCTGTACGTCAACTACCGACACCTGGCTCTGCTGTGTGACGTCATGACCAGCAAGGGCCACCTCATGGCCATCACCCGCCACGGCATCAACAGGCAGGACACCGGAGCCCTCATGAAGTGCTCTTTTGAGGAATCCGTCGACGTGTTGATGGAGGCTGCGTCACATGCGGAGGTCGACCCCATCCGTGGCGTCTCAGAGAACATCATGCTGGGTCAACTACCGAAGATTGGGACTGGAGCCTTTGACCTGGTACTCGATGACGAGAAATGCAAACTGGGCATGGAGGTGCCCATGCCCGGGGCAGCAATGATGCTCCCCGGCAGCATATTCAGCGAGGCATCACCCTCCTCAGGAATGACGCCCGCCCAGACCCCATGGGCATCTAACTCTACACCCTCCATGTCGCCATACGGAGGTTGGACGCCTGGAGTGGGCAGTGGCATGACTCCTGGTGGTCCGGCTTTCTCCCCTGCAACTGCCGCTGAAACCACTGGTCTCTCCCCCGGATACTCCCCAGCTTGGTCCCCCCAGCCAGGCAGTCCGGGGTCCCCAGGAGGCATGAGCCCTTACTTCCCCAGCCCGGCGAGTGCTGTGTCACCGTCGTATTCACCCTCCTCCCCAGCCTATCAACCCACCTCACCCAGCCTCACCCCAGCATCTCCTGGCTACTCCCCAACATCCCCAACCTACAGCCCCACCAGCCCCCAGTACTCCCCAGCCTCTCCCCAGTACTCCCCCACAAGCCCCTCATACAGTCCAACCTCTCCCTCCTATTCCCCAACCTCCCCTTCTTACTCCCCAACCTCCCCTTCTTACTCCCCAACCTCCTCCCCTTCCACTCCCCAACCTTACTCTCCAACCTCTCCATCTTACTCCCCAACTAGTCCTTCCTACTCCCCAACCTCCCCAAGCTACAGTCCCACTTCCCCCTCTTACTCCCCAACCAGTCCTTCCTACTCCCCAACCTCACCATCTTACTCCCCGACATCTCCGTCATATTCGCCAACCTCCCCGAGCTATGCACCCAACTACTCCCCATCATCCCCGGGCTACTCCCCAACCAGTCCTTCTTACTCCCCAACCAGCCCCTCATACTCCCCAACTTCACCGCAGTACTCACCAGCGTCACCCTCCTACTCTCCAACTTCTCCCAAATACTCCCCAACGAGCCCAAACTACTCCCCGACAAGTCCGACTTACTCCCCCGGTTCGCCGTCCTACTCCCCAACATCACCCAAGTACTCCCCAACGAGCCCCACTTACTCGCCGACCTCGCCATCCTACTCCCCATCTTCCCCAAAGTACTCGCCAACCTCTCCGAATTACTCGCCAACTTCGCCAAAGTATTCGCCCACTTCGCCAACATGCAGCCCCTCTAGTCCCCAATACAGCCCAACTAGTCCCAAATATTCCCCAACCTCACCTACTTATAGTCCCAGCAGTCCCAAATATTCCCCAACTTCCCCAACTTACAGCCCTAGTACTCCTGGTTATAGCCCCTCCTCCCCAGTCTACTCCCCAAGTCTAGCTGAGGATGATGAGGAAGATCGACAAAAGAAACAAAAGAAAAAGAATAAGCGCTAACTAAAACAAAAAACAAAAGCCAAACAGTTCTTTTTTTTTCAATGTATCTCTTCTACACACGTTTATTATCTTTTTATTATCATCTATTTATTCACCATTCTCACATTATCTACCGTACTGTATCTGATTCAACTATATATATTTTTTTTTTTTCATCGATCCCGTCTTTCTAAACTTCATTCAATTTTTATGGGGAAGGGGAAATGGTTGAGTGTAAACATGGTGATGACCTGAGCCAGTGACAGTAACAAAACCAGTGACAGTAAAACAAGAGATAGTGTCAGAAACAGCTACAGTACTGCAGTTGTTTATAAAGGTCACTAGTCTGTTTTATATTGTATTTAACATTAGTGGGGTACAATCCTAGTGATATTTCCATATCAAGAGCTTCCATTGGTGCCTTCTATAGTCATATCAAGAGCTTCCATTGGTGCCTTCTATAGTCATATCAAGAGCTTCCATTGGTGCCTTCTATAGCCATTTCAAGAGCTTCCATTGGTGGCTTCTATAGTCATATCAAGAGCTTCCATTGGTGCCTTCTATAGCCATTTCAAGAGCTTCCATTGGTGGCTTCTATAGTCATATCAAAAGCTTCCATTGGTAGCTTCAAGTCACATCAAAAGTTTTCATTGGTGGATTCAAGAAACCTCATAATTATCCTGGTGGTTCTCTAGAAGGATTCATGGGTGTTTCCTTACAAGGATTCATGGGGCTTTCCTTACAAGGATTTACCTGTAATAAGGGTTTGCATTTGTAACTTTAGGTAATATATCCCTCAACTTATTGTAACCATTCACAAGAGAGTAGTTCCTCCTGTGCATATTGTTATTATTGTTATGCCATTTTAAGACAAATATATTTCTCTCACATTATCTTACCTACATCATCTGTATGCCTCTCAGAGAAAAGGTTAATGGCTTCAATTTTTTAGTTTCTTAAGATAATTTCTCTGAATTAAGACATAGGACAGAAACTTGTGTATGTGTACCACTCACTCTTTCTCAATGTGTTGTAGATATCTCTCTTAGTAGGTCATTAAAGTTTAGTGTGTGCTGCAGGACCTAATACTGTACTGTATACATTAGATTAGCATATGGTTACTAGTGTATGTATGTAACAGTAGTATTTTGGAAGTTAATTACATTACTGTTGTTGGTAGTGAACCTCACCTCACCACCTCAAGCAGCACTTAACATCATTTCTAGTGTGTTCAATTCAAGTGTTGTGTGCATTTATTATCATATTACATCATGAAATAATCAATGTATGTGTTTAAAAAGGTTTATTTTCATTCACGTGTGTGCTTGTACAGTATTACGTATTTTGTTGACAACATTTCCTTGGGAATGAATCTCCAGTTATATAGTGGGAGTCAATGTGAAAATATGACTCATCTTAAGGCCGTACAAAAAAGGTGTACTCGGAGGTCCATTGTAACGTCCTGGATGTCATAAAAGGAGAAAATTACACATGTGTTGGCATTACCAATTATATACTTGCTGAGTTTCATACAATGCTATTAAGCTTCTCATTAATCAATAAATTGTTACATTCACATCACCATTACACAAATGAGAACTGTAAAATTCATTATTCTTACTACAAAAATATATATAAAAATATAGTTTCAAAGACAAATTTCTAAAATATCCTTATAATATAAAGTTAAAACTAATCACCAATATGGAGACACCTTGTTTATACATAACCTTCAAGAACATTTCCCTAGACAAGACAACATATCACAGGACAGGTGTTATTACTTGATTAGTATGAATTATTTTTCAATGATATGCAATACTGTTTATATGACTCAAGACCTTGTTAAGAAATTCATCAGTCTATTGACATTAAGACTCTATGAATGAATTTTATCATTCTAAGGGATCCATAAAAAAATAAATAAATAAAGTTATCTGAAAGTACATTGCCATTTTGGTCCCATATATTCCTTTGTGTAGAGCTGAACAGAGTTCCAATGGCAGCTTGAGAAGGCAAGAAACAGCCCCCTCAATCTACCCTTCAAATGCCCCTTAATCTGTAATTCAAATGCCCCTCAATCTACGATTCAAAAGCCCCCCCCCCCCACTACACTATAAGCAGCACTCATATTCATGACCTTGGTACAGTACTTTAGCAACCTTAGTGTCCAGAAAACACAAGCAAAATGGGTTAATTTCCTCAATACTGTACTGTTTGTGTAATACGTTGTAGTTACAGATACAAAGAAAAACTTTAAAACATCAAACACTAAATTAAGTACAGGGTATGGTGTACAATATATGCTTTCACTTAAGTTAAATGATATTTAAGAAAATACATCTTTGGAAGCAAAAATTATGTTCATTTTGCACTCTTTAAAGGTACAATTACCACAACTGATATCTACCAATAAAACTATGTATGTATAGCACTAGTAATATACAGAATATACAACCTCAACCAACTTTATATGCTTGAGAACATAATTTTGTACACTTAATATGTTTGGGCATCTAGACTACAGTTTACAGGATTCCACCACAACATTTTAAGTACTAATCATGCACCAAACACAAGTCATACTTAACTTCTAACTTTTAAAACATTACTTATCATAATACTAAAAACATGTTGGACTGAACATAAAAATTTAAGTCTACGGTGAAGACAAAGAGACAAGGAATGTGTGAGGTGTTTGTCTATGACTCCCTGACAGTACCTACCTTGATGAGGTTATTTACATTCTGAGACGGAGTAAATTGTCCAGCACAGATTAGTTAATAATTTCCTTACAATGGTCAACCAGTAGTTAAAAAAGGAATATATCTCAACCATTACGTCATAACATTAACTTCAGTGACTATCAAACTTGTATGCTTTTTGAAACCACAAAAGGATCATGATTGAGGTGTTGCCCTTACCAACTACCAGTTTCAACTATGTTAACCACAAACTGATCTGAGTAAGACTGTGGTCCCTGCCTCAGAATGCACACACACCCCAGCCCCATGCCAAGAGATTCATGGAATGTGATATATACAGATAAAATTCTAAAAAATCTCAGATAAACTTACAGTGGACAATGGACCCACAGCACTGGAAGACTCATCGCGGTGTATCTTGCCTCTGACATTAAAAGCTACTTAATATTTACAACAGCTCTCTATTTTCTTCCCTGGTGCAATACAGCTAGACAGTACCACACAACTCTGGAAGCTTAGGTAATGTAATAAAACTTGAAATTGACATATATCATCATATAAGCAGCCTACATACACTCGGCATACAAGCATCCTACATACACTCGGCATACAAGCATCCTACATACACTCAGTATACAAGCATCCTACATACAAGCAGCTTATGTACAGTCAGTGTAAAAGCATTCTTCATACACTTAGCAACGAGCATCCTATGTACACTCAGCATAAGAACATCCTACAAACACCTAGACTACATACAGTATACAAGCATCCTATTAACACTCCTACTGACAAATCTGAATCACCTGTCATTCTCAGCTTCATGAGATATAAAGTCGCAATCAACTATTGCCTTATGGAATGTCACAACACATAATGCTTAAGTACAAAAATCTTTAAAAAAATCAATACGTTAAGGAGACACGTTCCCATCAGTGGCTCGAGTTAAGGTTTTATTTATCATCCCTTTGTGGGCGTAAGATAAATAATCATACAGGCTAATACCTCATCCAGTCATTCATACAAGACATGCCATTAAAACTCTGACCATATAGAATCAGGGAGAATCAAATGGGAAAAAATATACACATGAAAAATTACAAAATGTGGTGAAAAGTGGAATGACACACACATACCTACGTAGTTCTGATTACTGTTTCAGAATGGATGGACAGAGGAACATGTTTCCGATGCACCACATCCAAACTTTACGTCGTATCTACTAACCACAGACAACATACCTGTAGTTTCTTTATTTTATTTGTTCTAGAGATCTATAAAAGCCCATTCAGGTACTGTATGCTTAACACATATATCAGAGTGAGGGAAAATAAAGGAGTTCAGGTAAAGCTGCTTTTTGTCTGTCAACATACATTACATTATAAAACAAGTCATACCAAACAATATGACTTCCATCCTTAACTTCAACTTACAAATATCACTCACAAAGAACAACATCATATTACAGTTGTTTTAATAACTATTTTTCCTTTAATAACAGAGTTGAAAAAACTAAAAAAACTTATGGTGTATGACAATGGACCATCCTTCCAACCCACCATGATCTCTGCAAGTCACATGAGAAGCAACGAAACAAAACTCAGAAGTATGCCAAAAAAAACACCAACAGAAACCAATGCAAAGTCCTGTGTCCAGCCGTTGAATTAAGATACTACCTGTGCTTTACATAGTGAAAGAACCAGTCAAGCTTTGTCGTCCACGCGCCTCCATAAGCCTCACAAAACCTGTTCTGGAAGTACTCCAGTGCTTCCTGCTCCGAGGCCCCAACAGCCAAGGTCTTACGCAGATAGGCTATATCCTCTGGGGTCTGAAATAGAGGTCATCTGAAAGTGAACACTTCTTACCACACCACATAATATAGTCTTAGGACTATCTATCAATACCACCTTAACTAAACTTACTTTAACCAAACCTAACTTAATTTAACTTAACTACTAACCTACTATAATCTAACATACCTTCACCTGGTCCCCCCACCCCCTCACAGGTAACATTAGTGTTGTTTAATCATCAGGTAAAATAAGCAAGGTTTCCTTTTCTTCATTAAGATCCAACAAAGGAACTCAAAGGTAGAAAATACTAATGACTGTCCTACTTAACTAACAATGAGAGAGAGAGCCATTGCTCATCACCTACTTGGAGTTCTGGCATGCCGGTAGACAGTAGCAGTGTGAAGAGGTTAATAATGAGGCGGTGATACTTGCGCAGGGCCAAATATGCCTTGCCACAAAGCTCTTGAAACCTAAAATGGAATGTGTTGGTATGAAAGCACATAGATATTAAAATCATTATTCATCCACACAATAATACTTACAATGGGAGTTGGAGAGAAATTTTCCCTAAAACACCATAATCAACACAATGATTTTATTTTATTAGAGAAGCCTAAAGGATTATTATATTTTAGGAACTTTATGCCTACTGATTTTTAGGTTCCTGTTTATTGTACGGCCTAGAATAATCATTTTGGGTTCTCGAATAAATAAATCATCCGGTATTTGTACTTGGTTAAGTTACAATCATCTCAAAAATATTTACTAAATCAGTGTTTGAACTTTGATAGGAGGAAGCCACTTTATACAAACAATTAATAACAAGAAAACACATATTAGATACTCCTTGTAAAGAGTGTGTGTGTGTGTGTGGGGGAGGGGGGCAGGTAATATTGGTAAAGTACTGTACTATTAATACTAGACATCAACATCTGATAATACAACTTTAATAGGTGGATAAACAGATGAATATAAACAAAAACATGACACTTTTTAATGTGAGAGGGAGGGAGAAGGAGAGAGATAACTGACGGCCACTAACCTCTGGAACTCTTGACTTTCCTTTGGATTTTCTGCTCCTCCAGCAATCACCCGCAGGAAGTCTTGCGTCAGGACAAATGGTACGCGCTCCCGATTGATACCAAATTTCTTCTTGAAATTTCCCAAGAAATGTCCAAAGTCAATGTGGAATATCTGAAGGAAGAAAAATGCTTAACTATTAACCCATCTCAAACAGGTTATCAAGTTACACAAACCAGAAGACAGAAAATAGGAATTATACAGTTTGATAAAGTGTGGAAGAATATCAAATACAGCAACTGAGTGAATGTGGGCAAAGAATAAATAGAAATATTGAAGGATGATAATAGTTTGTCATATAACTTACCAGTCCTTCCTGATTGACCATGATGTTGTCTGGGTGACGGTCACCAATGCCCAGCACAAAAGTGGCCACGCAGTAGCCCGCACAGGACCGAGTGAAGTTATCTATTGCCTGTTCCAACCTGTACACCCCAAGAGGAAAATACAGTAATGAGCATGAGACTACCAGCCAGAGGTGTGAGGCTCAAACGGCTTGTGTCATAATTACAGTACTGTATATGATACAGTCGCAGTAAGCAGAGGCACGAACAGCTGAAAAGGTTAATCATTACGGTAACACCATCGACAATGTGTAACTCACCTGAGGCCTTTGTTTTTATCACGGATCCACTTGTACAACTGGGAGGAGTCAACCTGGATGGCTCCCAGCTTGGAGCTACGCTGGATGTTGTACACAGTTTTGGCATTTCGCACCACCTCTATAACACCCACTTGTTTACCCATGGCCAGGCAGGAGTATGGCATCATGCGCAGGTCAAGCCCTTCATTATTCCACAGCTGTGCCATCATGCCAATAACTTGAAGGGTTAGCATATCTTGTCGGAGATCTGTATGAAGGCCGGGTGATGATAATTAGCCGACACATTCTAATAATAATATATAATTGCCTTGACACATTCTAATAACAGTAGTTATAGTTCCAGTTCCTTTACATTTACACCAGACCTTTATGTTACACACATTATACCCAACCTTCCAATACCAGGAATTACCAAGTAAACAAAAACTGCTGAATGAATTACCATCTCCACTCTTGAAGATTATGCCATGTGAGAGTGAGTAGTGAGGGGCCATGGGCTCAGGATTATCCCACACCAGACACATAGGCCGACGAGCTGAGTCTAACACCCGGCACTCAGAAATTCTGAGACGACCCAGGGAGTGGCTTGGGTTGAGAGGAGATGTTAGATGCTGCAAGACGTTGGAGTATTCTGACTCAGCCAGTTGTTCTTTCAGGTACTGGAAGTTAAAAAAGTAAGTTATTTTCCATATAGCATTAAACACTGAATAAATACAAGGGATCCCCACTTGTTTTGTTATTATGTTGGTGATAAATTAAAGATGAGGATATGTCTAACATGACACTTTTGTTTTTGTAACATCACTGACCATCATCTGCTGGCAAATAACAACTTTCTGATGCACAGTACACAACTAAACAGAGACCATAGCAACACTCCCTTCTCAGCTAGTAAGGTCAGCACCCAAATTTATGATTGGGTTTGAAAGCAAAATGTAATGTCTTGTGTATTTTACTACATATACAGAATTAGGCTGTACCCCAGAATCAGACACCTAAAACTTTGACTAATATATTGCTGTATGTCTTGTTTGAAGACAAATTTTCCCCAGAACGAGCTTTTTCCATCTACATTATTTCTTATGAGAAAAATTTACCTACTTAAAGTTGTTTTGTTTAAAGTATAATTTTTTTAGAAATGGATCTACAACAATAAGTGGATGATCCCTGGATACAAGAATAATAATTCATATGTTGATGAAATTGCTATTCAGATTACAGTACTAATAATAACAGGATCAAACCTTGTTGTTGTTACTTCGCTCTTTAACAGCTTCTGACAACCTTGTCAATTTGTCTACTACTTCCACTTGTCGGACAACTGGCCTCAGGTCTGGACCAAGGCCACGGCAGTAAGCTTCCAGTATGACCATGACGCGATGAGCACCGGGCCATAAGTAGGCGTCTGATCTGTAATGTAGACGACAACAAGATGAGTAGAGGTTCATGCCCCATGTTCTCTGATATACTGTACTGTCAACAACAACAACTTGTTAATCTAAAGTAAATAGAAATACAGGTTGATCAAATTACCCAATAATGAGAGTAAAATTTACAAGTACAGTATGTTCAAGAATACCTGCACTGCAAAAGTTAAGTATTAATAATAATGGCTGAACTTATCAATCAAAGTGTGCTTGGTGAGGACAGTTAGAGCCAGTCAGCAAACAAATATGAGTTCTCTGAGTCAATCATGATAGTAATCATGAGGGGGAGTGAAGTGCATGTACCAAATGATCTCTTTGGAGTTTTAAGTACATCCTCACTTCTTACAAGTCTAAGACAACCAAGACAAGAAATGCCTAGTACCCCTTTACCTAACTGGTTCATATGATAATGATAATGACTGATGATGATGACAATGAGTGAATGACTTCTCTGTTTACTCAGTTAAAACTAAGAGGTGAGGCTTGTGGTTCAGTCAACTTACAAGGAGCATTCATACTTACTTCAACTGCCAAAAAAAGAAGTGTCCAATCTTGGCATTGGTTAAAGCTTTCCGCAGAAGAAACCTAAGAAGCGCTGAGTTCAGGTAGGGCTCGTGCTTCAGACTCTGTACCAGTTGTAGCAAATACTAGAAGAAAAATATTAAATAAAAATACAGCAGAAATAAAGTCATATACATAGTTTATTGTTCCTAAGGTCTTAAAACACCGGATTTGATCTATTAGAGCCAAGTCTGTACACTCTAATCACTACACCTGGGCACCACGATCTTTATTGAATTCAGTATGTGCTGACTTAACCACAAATGCCAGCCATCATCAGTGGAAGTTGGGATATGTGGACAGAGAGGATGAGGGAAATATTGTCATGGGAAGTGAGTGGTCTTTAGTCTACTAGTAATTGGAGAAACTTCTATATTCCTTGTTGCACATATTCATTGGTTCTGAATTGGCACAAAAGGGTTTAAAATTATGTTCAAATCACTTACCAAAATTACTTCCTTTCATGGCTGTTCCCATCATGCTCACACTAACCTGAAATAGGCCTTCATCAGGAAGGGCCTTGTCTAGGGACTTGACTGCATGCCTGCGTACAGTCGGGTCAGCATATTTACACTGAAGCAGCTCGAGGGCTGTCTCTGGTAACACAACCGGCCACTCCTTTAGTAGAAGGTACAACTGAAATGAAACCACAAACCATCAAGGTACAACACTGGCCACAGCAGCCTTCTATATATCATCAACATATAAGTGTTGTTGGACAGGGACAATGTTATCTTAGATCGGTCTCCTATTAATGTATGAAACTGCAGTGTGAGCAAGTTAATAGAAAAGTAATACTAATACTCAATACACATATGATAGGGTACTGCTCTTACAACACATTCTGAAGAGGCACTGTAAGACCATCGAAGCAACAGGGTCGGCAAATGTTTGGGGTGCAGAAAATATTTTTAAAACTTCATAAATACGTCTTTAAAATGGCCATATATGGGATCTACTTCTTGGCATTAAGGGAATCTCACCTGACTGACATGATCCCTTGATGACCACCTCACAGCATCCAGGAGCCTAGGAAGGGAGTTAGGCATAGATAGGCAGAGTCTCCGTCTAGACCACAGAAACTCCTTGTCTTCATCACTCAGTTCACTCAATGGGTCACGTTCTGCTATCCTATTGATTCTAGACAAGTCAGAGGAGTGCTTATCCATGTCCTGCAGAGAGAATAGACAATTAAATAAGGAATACTGAAACAAATTACTACAACAACTCCCACAATAATAAATGGTCGCTGGCTTGTTATCGAATACTGTACTTGTGTGAAAAACTGGGAAGCTAAAATCTGTTGTTAGTAGATCCTTCAAGGTAATTCTCTATCCCATTCTTGCAATATATCGAGGGTCTGTTACTCCTATGACCTGTTTTACATTCAACATATCACCTCTCATCTCACCTCCCTCTCATCTCACCTCCCAGCACTTCCCTCTCATCTCACCTCCCGACAGTTCCCTCTCGTCTCACCTCGTCACTTTCTCTGCGCTCCAACTTGATGATGTAACGGGCATAATCCTCCATCTGCTGAGTGTCGGGGAATATCACCCGTTGGTTGAACCGTCGCTCAAAGCCAACCTCCAGGCAGGTGGTGTCATTGCCTGGTGTGTGTCCTAGAGTGAGGGAGGTAAAGGTAACTATTACAATAATAAGAATGACTGAATGACACCAAATGATGGATGAATGTGTTTCCCTTCTATTCTTGTCATCTTGTATTATAGGAGGAAAAGACTTAAAAAAATCAAGGGGTGATTTTGAAGTTAATCTACATATCACACACACAGCTCGAGTAACTAATGATTAATTTGCTATAGTAAAAGTGATTCAGGATGTGGAAATCGGTCTCCTTTATTTTATTGCTGTATGCATTCCTCTAATACTATCTGGAGAATGGCTCTTGTGCAATTTTTTAAAGCATTAACACCAATATACTGTACCTGTAGTTCCAAGTGGGTTGAGCAAGTCCTCGTAACCTTTTGGTGGTGGCAACATGGCAATAGATATTCTGTTGTGGACAAGTTGATTCCGAAAGTCAAAGATGTTGACATTACCCCAGGCCAGCATACAGTATACCTGTAGAAAAATTGACCAATAATCCCTGTGATTCAACAGTTATATCCAGTTACCATGAGAGGAATAAGAGTGTCGTAATGACCACACTGGAGCCCACCCATTAACAGAAAAAAGGATTGGGTCATGAAGATTAAAAATAGGAACCAATGGACCCCCAAAAATTTACATAATAGAAAAAAATATCAGCTTGAAGGACATTAAATTTTAATAGAGAACAGCCCCAATCAACACTACAGCACAAATGACAAAGAGGAAAATATTGTAGAGTACATATATGAAGAAATATATTTGTTCTCAGATAAGTCAGTCAGTTAGAAACATTCCAGGGACCTCAACTTACCATCTTTTCTTTTCTCTTCTTTTTGTCTGTGTGTCGGCGCTCCGAGCACACCGAGAGACACAGCCTTGCCCCTTGAGGAATCTCCTGAATGGGGAGATCAAACTGGATCCATTCTCCCCACTTGGGATTATTACCGGCCACGTGTTGTGTCTCGCGGATGACGCACAGTTGGTCTCCTCCGTGGAAAACTCCAGCCCGAACATAGACCTACAGGAGAAAATATGGAGATTAATTTTTTATCATACTTTATGCCCTCTCTTACTATATGGCAGTGACTAGAATCAACAGCAACCACTAACTTATTTGAAAAGGAAAGGTCATGAAAAACCTGGAGATGGCACTGTCTTACGAGGCTAAGGAAAACAAGTGAAACCTTACAGTGAGGTAAACAAACTGATCAGACGAGGGAAATTTTATCGAAGTATTATAACAATTAATAGAGACTGTCTCCAACACATTTACACTCGAACGTCTGCACTAACCTTCTGAGCCTCCTTCACATTGACGCACTTTGCCCAGAGGATGTGGACCTTCAGTCGTCCGTCCATACTCGGGTGCCACAACGTCAGGGATGAGTGGTCAGGAGGCGGAGAAGACTTCGTGACTGGAGAACGTATATACGACGGCTGCAGGAACTCGAACGTGTTGAGGGAGGCGTAAAGTTCACCGCGGGAGACCACAGAAAGCTGAGGAGTTTTGCCACGGGATAACCACACTCGAACTGTCTGTAAAGATATCAGCTTATAGACGAAGTACTACTGTAACAATCTGCACAACATAATAAAGTTTCCTCTAATAAACCATACCAAAGATTTTTTACAACTGACATCACCACAGACTCACCTTGTACTGAGTGATGGGACGACCGGCAAGCAGGTACTCATTTGTGCCGGATATCTTAAGTGCATGTCTAGAAGCATTGTGCACTAGCGGGGCCGAGCTGAAGTCATCCAGAGGGTGAGAGGGAGAGAGACGCTTCAGGGCCTCGGCAATTATACCTTCGGGGTAAGTGTCCCATGTGATCCGGACACTTGTTGATTCTGTGCTGCCTCTCCACACATTTACCATCAAGTAACCTGGACAAATACATGAATGAATATTAGGATCCCCCACATATTTTGCCTGAGGATTAAAATTGGGAGGTTAAGTTAGGTTGGGTTAGGGTAAGTAAGGTTAGGATTAAACTGTTTTAATTATCAGGTGAAATAAACAAGGGTTCAACACTTTCATGACATCTGATTCATTTAATAAACTAAACTGACTGAACTGAAAATCCATATACTGTACTGTAATAAACTGAGTCAATACCAAACTTAATTATTACTACACACATGAAAGACAAGGATTCAAAATACAAACTAACTGAGGAAGATATCAGTAATTATGTATACTACACCATACAAAGTACACCCAGCAGATGCTACAGGGAAGAATGTTGTGCTGTATACTAAGAAAAGTTTACATGTATAAGTAAATGTGGAAACCAAATATCATAGGATAATAAGATAGCTATCTAACTGGCTATATACAAACTGAACAAAAAGTCAACTTGTGTGACGACTTTACTGAATAGGGTACCTTTCTATCTATATATGAATGATGAGAAGTTTATTGCTGAACAGTACGTACTTTTAAACAAGCAAAGTATGATAGTAACCACACAAGAGTACCCGGCACATGACCTGCCTACCTTGGTCCAGGTTCTTCTCTACAGAGGTGGGAAGCTTGGCTGTTGGCTCCAGCTCGGGAGGATGCTGGTAACAGGCCAGTGAAGCCAAGCCACATTGCTGCCGAGCCTTTACGGCCTCACCCACCACCTGTCGGGTTGCATGTGAATTGATATTAGTGGATTAGTGATGGTACTTGCGCAAGTGTTGTGGCTTGTTACCTGAGTTAGTAAAGTTCTTTTCTGTACTAGCATGTTTATATAATTCCCATGTCCCAGGTCTTCAAAGCACATCAACAGGGTCATGGTTGCAAAAAACACTACATGTTAAGCTACAAAAGGCCATTACAAAGCATTGAAAAATATTACACAGCAGCATAAGTGGAGCATTTCATCAAATGATAAATTTGTCGAAGTTCTACGCTCATTTTTCACACTTGTGTGGGTTTGCAATGAATATGTAATGGCTGTACAGTCTCTTGCAGTCTCTCTTGTCAGGTTCTTGTCTCTGGTGTCATTTCTTACAACCTCTCATGTCATTCTTAGTTCACCTCCCCTCTCCACTTTTAGTATCATACAACTCTTCACCCAGTTGGTCTTCTTCATTCTCCCCAAATGCCCAAATCATCTCAGCTTACCTCAATGCAGAACTTCACCAATATCCTACTCTCATTACCCAGCCGTCATCTGAACCCCGAGTTGGATTCCTATCTTTCAGTGTCACATTGCACATCCACCTCAGCATTCTCCTTTCCATTCACTCAAGAATGCACATATCATCTGTTTCATTGCCATATTATGTCACATCTTTCTTTTCACATGGAAGGAAAGTCCTCTTGTTATCAATAAAGAGCACAGTGTTGAGTTTCTCCAGCCTTACTTTGGTATTGGTAATTGTATTCATTAGCAAATACAATAAAATAATGAATTACAATTGTTTAATACCATACGTTAATTCATTTGGCCAATGCTTCTTCCTGTCCATTCAAGAAAGGGGCAGTACAGTGGCTCCTATGACACACTATCATATCTCTCATCATCCGTCCAGCACACATGACTCACCTTAATGATGCTTCTCCTGAACTCCTGCAACTCAGCATCTTTAGAGTCCTCCAGATCATGGACTGACCGCCCAATGGCCAAACCTGCAGCCAAGAAAACTTTTGATAAGCCTTCTATGAGTTTACAGGCTGCTGCTCTTACTAAGATTTATAAACCCCATTTTTTTTTATGATTAATTGATGATTCCTTGTGGGATTTAGTTAAAAGAAAAAAGAAAAAAAAAAGAATCATTCAATCAACCCTCACGAGATAAGTAACGAGATTTATCCATACGTTTAACCTCAGCCATAAATTTAACTTAATACGGTATCAAACAGGCAGCGTATACAACTGTGGTAGCATGCTCCTCTCAGCAACCATTACCAGGACCACTTACTGATCTCATAATTAAGGATTTTCTCTTCCTTGCTGCCACGTGGTTCCACAATCTTAAGGATGGGAGAGAAGAGGCGTAGGTCACACAGACGGCGCGACTCATCCCAAAATTCTTCCTGCTCAGCATCCTGAGTCACACCAACTAACACATACTCCTCGGGTACACGTAAGACACGATACAGTGGGTACTTCTTCGCCTCCTGCCATATTTCACCTTAAGTTGGGTAGACAAATGGTGTACTTTAACCTTGATATTAACACACAAGACCAAAACATCTGGATAAAATTGAAATGTTAATAAAATCTTAAAGTGACGCTACAGCTCAGTTTGTACACTATTCACCTTATAAGCAAGACTCCGGGGTTCAAGTCCCAACTGGAGTGGAAGACTGGGTTCCTCTTCATACACTACATCTTGTGCTTTCACCAATATATCATAATTTATACATGTCAATAGTGGAACTACCCTCTGATACTGCTTAATGTTTTGAATCACCTGACTAACAACTGTACACCCACCCATCATCACAAAAGAAAATAGCTTGTAATATCATCATCATGAGTGGGTTAGCAGAAAATAAATAAGAGTAATTTAAATTTTGCCTATATTAAAACATTCATACCTTCCTCACTGACACACTCACTTTTAAGTTCACTAAGGGTGACATCTCTATGGCAGGTGAGTGGGACTATGATGCTGTTGGGCAGGAGGCAGTCGAGGATAATGCACGGTGACATCTGAGGCCAACCCCCAAGCTTCAGCACACAAGGGAGCCATACCTCCACCACCCAACTGCTTTTATATATTGCATCATAGTTGGCATTGCTTCATACCTATCAAGACAAAAAAATTAAAACAATGCTAACAATATATCTTTCTATTTAAAGTGAATAAATAACGAAGCAAAAAATACCTAAGATAATTTTTGGGGGGAAGGGAGAGTTGAGAACTGGTAGAATAATCTGTCATAATTGACCAACACAGGCACAGGTACAGTACATTCTTGCCAACAATGTGTAACAGAGACGTGACCTACCGCCCACGTGGTAGACTGCAAATGAATCGTAATTTATTTGAATCGTATAATCTTTTAATTTTCAAAGTAATAATAAAGATGAGCGAATGATACTCGGATAACAACTATAATACTGCATTAGTTTTGTGAGCAGATAATATAAACTAACTAAACCTGACCTACCTTATTCTAATCTAATCCAACCTAACTTAACCTAATCCAACCTAACCTAACTTAACCCGATCCAACCTAACTTAACCCAATCCAACCTAACTTAACTCAATCCAACCTAACTTAACCCAATCTAACCTAACTTAACATAACTGAGCCGAGCCGAACCAAACCCAACCCAACCCAACCTAACATAACCAAGCCTAACCAAACCCAACCTACTGTAATATTCTCTTGATAATTGGCAGATGTGGTCCATTATGGATAAAACTATACAGTACAACAATTGTGACCCGGGCGCTTCATTTACAGTGTTTTAGAGATAAGAAAGAAGCACTTATATAAATTAGGTGATTCAGATAAGTTTTACCCACATTTTCACAGCTCATTTTCGTACATATAAACACTAACATACACATATTAACATAAACACAACATACATATATAAACATTAACATACATATATAAACATTAACAAACATATATAAACATTAACAGGTATTATTACATTTCCGCACACAACATTCCTACCCCTAATCTCTTATCATGTCCGAATAAGACGTCTAATTATGAGAAATTTTTCTTCTATTACATTATTGTCGCAAATGTATAATAACGGAGATAGCGTATTCAAATTTTTCTCTATTTTCTTCCATTAATCTTCTGGCATTATCGCCTACCTCACCTCCCACACTGAGTGTCTCCTTCATAAATCATCACGCGCATGCATTCCCGTACATGTCACACGGCCAATCAAAAGCGTTTTTGGGCCAACCAATTAAAATGATTTGTGGTTTAATTCAGGTATTTTGGCCCAATCAAATTCGATTTTCATTTTGGGTCTCATATTTCGAAATTCAAATTCATTTCCGACCATGAAAGTCTGCGATGGGTGTCACTTCAATTATATGGAGCTGATTGCAAGTTTTTTTGGAAAAAAAAAAAGAAAAGAAGAAACTATAGCATTTTTTCGATCTCATGGTGTTCTCCTGACCCGGGTCCGACTAATTACCCAAATGTACCCAAATATAGCCGGAATGAAGTCAAATGATGGTCCTACATGAATAAATCAGACTGCCAATCACTTCTCGACTAGTATTTGGTGTCACAAAGTCACAAAAAATTGGTAAACTTAATTTAATCTGAGTTAATAGATCGTGTGCATGTACCGACGGAGCGAGGAATTACCCAAATGTAGCCGCAATGAAGTCAAATGATGGTCGTACAAGCGTAATTCGGGCTGTGAATCACTTCTCGATTATTATTTGGTGTCAAAGTAAAAAAAAATTGGTAAACTTAATTTACTCTGAGTTGTGTTGTGTTGTGTTAGGTTAGGTTAGGTACATGCACTCGATCTATTAACTCAGATTAAATTAAGTTTACCAATTTTTTGTGACTTTGTGACACCAAATACTAGTCGATAAGTGATTGGCAGTCCGATTTATTCATCTAGTACCATCATTTGACTTCATTCCGGCTATATTTGGCTACATTTGGGTAATTAGTCGGACCGCCCGACCCCAGTAAAGTGTCCTAAGTGCAAGCTGCCCGCCTATCATGTGGTGAGTCAGTTAGGTCAGGTTTATGTTTTTCTAGTGTTTTTTTGTGTGTATTTTGTATTCGCTTAGCCACAATTTTTGTCGGAAAACGCTACACCAGAAAAAAAACGATAAAAAAACGGCCAATTTCCGACAGAAATGAAGGTCATAACCAATCTAAACACACACAAATACATTAGAAAAACATATATTTTACTTTTTAAGAGTTGTGTGCACTTATGCAAATTTACCCATTAACATACATATATAAACATTAATCAAGTATAACATCAAGTATAATTCTAAAAACAAGACTAGAAATGTCAACTTTAAAATACTAAAACATAACTTTACTGGATTTTGTTGGCGATTCCATAAACCACCAATAAACAACTTCCTCTTCGGCTTCAAGTGTCACTACTCACCCTCGAGGATGTGTGAAGGTCGAGGGAATTATATCTAGTACCTTTGGCCACGTGTCACACCCCAGTAAGACTGAAGTTTGTCAATATTTGTGGAGGAATTTTAAACTTAACCGTTGATTTTCTTCACATAAACATCAACACACACACACACACAGCTGGGAACTATCAACGTCAAATGAATCTAAAAATTATAATAAATTATTTTAACCTACACTTAAAAAAACCGTTCATAATTAGTATAAATCATTACGATCCTATTTGAAGTCATTTATCCATGTACAATATCATATTTATAATGCATAGAGGAGTGAGTTTTGGCGGAAGTTTTAAATGTCAAGTGACTGAACTTCTGATACACTGTACCTTTAAAAATGCATAGATGAAATAGTTCCACCCCATATTTTATTATATTGAATATATTTTATGATATACATTAAGAATTTATATTTAATTGCTGTTAAAGATGATATAACTATAAAAATAATCAATTTGCTGAGTGAAGTACCTTGGTAATTGGTATCCCATTTACCCTCTAAAATAGGCCAAAAGGCTTACTGTATTTTATCTTAGAAATAACAGACACAATAGATGGACATTAAACTCACACACACACACACACACTGACATACTACCTTACATTATTTGTACTCACATAAACGCTTCGGAAACCAAATATAATGCAGTTTTTAGTGTGGTGATATGAATTATTGTAAACGACGTAAATCCACTGAAGATGAATTAGTTACGGGTGTGAGCAGCAAAATGTAACGGTAGAGAAGAAATGTAATATAGTACTGTTGTTCTCCTTCAGCGCCTCACACCCACAGCTGCTGCTTCCCGGATGGTCAACTTAAGGTACCAGTTCCTTACATTACTCACTTCAAAATTCGACAAACACGGAAAGGACATTCCGACCGAGGCCTGAAGATATGAATAAAGTTTTAAATGTCCCTTCATACAGATCATTAATATTGGATGAATATATCAGTGTTGCGTAGATATAGGTGAAAATATCACACTTCCGCACATCTGGAGACTGTGGGATACCTTTTAGAGGCTCGTGTCCTCACATCCCAAAAAATGAAATATTTAAAAGTCTTTTCCGACTGTCATATTAACGTAACTGAGCTTGGCGTTATAGGGAATCAAAAAGGTAATAATTATTATGTAAAATTATTAAAAATGTTTATAGATGTTCAAATAATCTACGAAGGTAATCTATATTTAAACATGAAATGTGATTGTATGGTTTCCCCGTCTACCTTCAATGATCGACCACTTCCTTGGGACAGATCGGCAGTGTGCCTCCATTTTCCACACATTTTCATTAACTATAAAGAGTTCTCTATAAACTTCGTAAAAACACTTAGGAACATAATACTGAATACTATGTTAATTAAAATAAACATACTCATGAAATCTGGATAAAATACTATTCAGCATTACTCAAGACAAGAGTCCAGATAGATTGAATGCAAACCATTAGAGAAATCATCAAGAACGAAATCTTTGAGCACAATGAAGAGGATGAGTGGCTGTCCTGTACAACACGTCTTTCCACTAAATGTCAGTTAAAAGGATGAGTCTCCGCCACATGTTACTTGTGCATCATTATTGTGTTCGGCGCCTCACACGGGAGCTACTCTGCGCCTTCAAAAACATTATTTTTTTCTAAGACTTTTCTGATTATAGTTAAACACTAAAATACTAATACATTATACAGATCACCTGAAGTATCTCCACCATACCGCTAACCTAACCTGTCTTAAACCTAATCTAGCCTCATCTACCCAAATGCTGTTAGGGGTGGTTAATCTTTCGGTGAAGTTAGAGGGGATGGAGATTCTTCACGTGATCCCATTATACTCTAAACACTAGCAAGTACTATATTCGTCTCCTGCTAATATTAGGCAGATAGAGTACATAGACTTAACTGAGCACGCGGCAAAGATTATGGAGAGAGACGCATTGGTCCGTGGGAAAGACTTGTACTACAGGAGGCGGTGGACTTGGCTAAACAAACCTAACTGACGCTGGCATTCCCACTTTTATTTATTATTTCACCATTTACCAACTCGCTAGCTGTTTGGGCGGTTGGTCTGTTCTTTGTTACTTTGTCATGAACTGTATTGTCTTGTGTTAGTACAGGAGGAAACCGGAGTACCTGGAGAAAACCTGCCTCGCTGGATAACAACACCTTTCTCGCATCTATACTTGGTTGTAGTTTGAACCCAACACACAAGCTGGTCAAATTCTCGGGGTTCGTGGTCCAAGATAGGAGACACGACTTTTGTGGGCGACTGTACTGGTTTAAATAGCGCTAAAAATACAGAGCAATATGCATTTTTTCTCAGTAATCTTGGCGGTAACCTCGACATTCGCAATTCACAGTATTAGAGCGTATTACTGCATCATGAGTGCACCACGGCCTTGATACAGACAGCAGTTTTGAGGTGGGTGTATAACTTTATGTTTCCGGTCACCTTGGTCTATATACACGATAAAGCAAAACAATTTCTGCTACACGTTTGCAGGTTCTATGGTGACGTCATTGTGAAGTTATTTCACCTAACGATTAAACACCCTAATACTAATCTAATCTAACCTAACCCAATGTAAACTTTTAATCATTGTAAAGTTATATAATGTTCATAGACAGTGCAGGCAAGTTCACCTCGGGGCACAACTAACTTCCAACAGTTACCAACTAAAAATTTATATTTAATCGTCTTGTGACACCTGTAAAATAAAAAATTGGTAGCGTGTGTAAGTCATGGAGCAGAAACACACACACACACACACACACACACATAAAACAGGAGTCAATGAACTTAACGCTTTTATTTTTACGATTCCATGATTTCTTTCGTGTAACACATGATTCATTTGTTAAAAACACTATTTAACAAAACGAATTTCAACCTTAAGAGGAATTTTCCCCGAGATATGGTACTACTGACGAAGACAACGGGAGAACAGTAGCGACCATGGATCTGCAGTAGTGCATCCTGTTGAGATCACCATTTTCTATGATAGGATATACTGTAATTTATTTAGGAGACTTAATTATTCATTTCTACCACTCATCACAATACCACTTTACCAGTTGTTCGGGCGGTAGATCAGTTCTTTGTTACATCTTCATTGTTAATACAGGAGCCGAGGAAACTGCTGCCCGTCAAGAAAGCTTCTCAGTGTCATATTTGTTAGTCATATCTGTCCCTGGCTGGGGATCGAACCTGGGACAATAGTAAGGCATGCTATTCATTCAGTTATTTGCCATTGTATTTACCTATACAACACTGCAGTATACAGTGTATGAGTTTCCCTGGCAAATTTCCTCCGGCAGCTTCACGCATGCGCAGTGTCACCGCTCTGTTTGCGGCGGGTGTTCAACATGGTTTGCTGGCTCTCCTAGTGTATCAGTCATTGTGTCTCCACTCCCCAACTCAGTCGACACTAGGTGTTACTTTCCTTAATCAAAACCATTTTTCCTCCGGGGAGTAAATTAACAAGTGGCAAAGATGATACACAATGTCGCTTGAGTGCTAAAACAATAACTATCATTTTAAATTCATCGCAAACAACGTGATTGATTACTAAAAACAACTAAAAGAAGTTTGATAAATATTACTTTTAATTATCTATAGTATAAGGTGTCAAGAATCGCCCGTGGAGTACAGTGTGACGAATAGGCGAGCATCGTCAGGAGGTAGGTAATGTTTTCATCTCGGCCAGCACACACACCCACACACACACACACACACACACACTAAATCAAATCACCTGTACCTTTATCCCTAATAATCACCAACAGTATATCATATATATATATATATATATATATATATATATATATATATATATATATATATATATATATATATATATATATATATATATATATATATATATAAGTTTTGAAAGGCCAAAGTATATTCATATTAAAGTGTATACAAGGATTTATATATGTACAAACTAGATCATATTTGTTCAGACATTTGTACGTAGTTTCATGAACGTGCTTGAATATACATTGTACTAGGACAGCTCAATAATTTTCATATCAATATATTTTGAACTAACTTACGAAATTTACTATCTGAATGAAACAGTGAGATAAGCCTGTCTGTTTGAATGATGATAATGGTGGTGTAAGTAAATGGCCTACATACATATACTAATACCCCATACCTTTACATCTAGCCAAATAAACTACACATTTATCACTACTCATAGTCGGTGACCTTGTATAACATAAGGTGACCACAGCGTAAAAAATCTCTGGACCCATGTTGTAATATAGCCTCAATCTATCTTCTGAGGTTGACACAGCGCCCTGAGGCTACACAGAAGGGAGGTGGTGGTGGAGGTAAAGGGATCGTTGCTATAAACCATTACATGTTGAAATATGATTTATGGTGTTTACCTCTGAGATGCCTGATACTTTTTTTTATGAGAGTTATGTAGAGCAATGGATTGTGATACATGTGTGTGTGTGTGTGTGTGTGTAACTGTGTGTGACTCAATCCAGCATGGATAATAAATGAAAAAATAACAACACATACATGTATTCAGTAATATAATAATAAAAAAGTGACTTTAATTTTACGGAATAATATTGAAGGTTAGAAATAATAATGTGGGATTTATTCACAAGGGCGCAACTGCGTGTGTGATGTTACTATCGTCTACTTGTTCATAACCTTAATTACATAAACAATAATGAGTGTTCGTCGCTCTGGTAAAGTAGTTCGTGACGTAACTTTCTGTAACCACGATCCTGTGATTGATGGCATATATATCTCTATACTGTAATTCACCCCTATAGTCGCGTTACGGTACACGTGAGAGGGTGGTTGTGGTTGTTGTGGGAATGATCACGGTTAAAGTAGTAGTAGAATTATCAATTTATCATCAGTCATTAATTATATTATAATTATTTATTGCTATTATCATCCTAATCATAATAATCATACACAGTTACATTAGCGTCACAATAACAGACGCCCTGAGCCGTGACCAGCGCTACCACAAGCCCTGGCGACGAAATCCCCAACTAGGCGGAAGGCACACGCGCGCCCACTGGAGGGTAAACATGGTGGGTTTGGCCGCTCATCACTCTTGTTATTCAGCCCGTGTTACTGGTCGCGCCCAGTGAGTGCACTACGTGACTTGTGCCGCCCTACAACTGGCAAATATAATCCGTCCTCCTTTCTATCATTCTGCCTGAAGCATACCGTCGTTTGATCCTAAAAAAGGTCGCTTAACTGCTGATCCTTTGCGTAACCCAGACTGCCAAGTGATACTAAGTTGGACTTGTTTAATATTGTTATTTATTCCGACATATAACAGTAAACTCCATACACTTGATGGTGATTAAGTGAATGAGCGGCGAAGAGTGAGGGAGTGTATGTGCAGGAAGTGTGGTTTGAGGGTTAGATTGTGGTTCATAGCTGTGTGTCGCAACCCTGCCACCGTCCCTACGTCATCACCAGGGGGCGCTAAACAGGGAGCTTCAAATTTTCATGCCGATAACATCCGATACTTCTGTTACTACCGTTTATTATAACCTCTTTACTGTATCTTCAGAGAAAACCTCCAGCTTCAACAAAATATCTGAGATGTTATTTCACTGTATCCCATATTACAAAAAAAACTGCTGTCTTATTTCCATACTGTATCTTCTAATGACTATAAACAGTATATATATGATCCTTGGTATCTACAAAACTTCAGTAAGATCATCCGTCAATATGGCCAACATCACTATATACTAGATTACAGAAAACAAAAAATAAAAATAAAATCCCGTAAAGCATAAAACTTTCAACACCAATCCTTGGCTTGTCACACTGAGCGTCTCTCGGTGGATAATAAATTTCACTCACCTGAAAGTTCCGTAATAAAAAAATTGCTTCTCTTTTTATTTATATCGCGGTGATCTATTATCTGTATCGGTTAATTAGTATCTCTCTCTCTCTCTCTCGTGTGAATTCGTAGGGGGATTTAAACGGGTAAAAGAGGGCGTGGTGCGGGAGCAAACTAACTCAAGCGACCACCAACACCTGGATTCTCTCTTTCCTCACTCACGCCCTTCCGTTCTCTCACCTCCCATATTTCGCAGTCTTTGTCTCCCACTAAATAATGGGCTGTGATTCTTCCTACCATAACAGCGCCATCGCTAGCCATCATCTGCGCCTGGCGATAATTCTACTTAGTCTACTGTATATCCGGTACTGACGCGGACTGTGCTGGGAAGTTACATACAGTGTATTTCATCTTTTATTATTGCCTGTTAATTGATGTTTTAATGTTTAATGAATAGTAGACAACATCACTACTACAGTACTATTATTATACGTTACAGTGTAGGGCGGTAGAGGAGCGGACGTCACCAACAACAACAAGAGGATGGTGATGGTGTCAAGATGAACCACGACGACCATTACCACCACCACCAGCAGCAGGAGGGAACACCACATCAAGGAGCACCACAGAACCACCATGGAGCACCACAGAGCCACCTGGGAGCACCACATACCCAAGGCAACATCCACTCAAAAGACCCAAAGTGTGGGATCCTTAACCAGTACCAGAGATGTTTACGAAGGTAGGTGTGTGTATATATGTATGTGTGTGTGTGTGTGTGTGTGTAAAAATATGATACAAAAAACCCAGACATTGATATTAGGAGCCATTAAAAACCGTATCGTGTCCCCCCTGGCAGGTTGTGTGGTCCTGGGGGGTTCTTGGTGATCTACTGTCTACAGCAGGTGGTGGGGGGCGGGGCCACTACCTACCTGGCCGCTTCCACCACCCACCTACACCGCCACCTACGACTGTCACACAGGCACCTCGCTGCTGTACTACTCCTTCGTGACTTGGGTAAGCTGACGTAGTAGAAGTTCGGGGAAAGGGAGAGAATGGAGAGAATGGGGGAGAATAGGAGAGAAGGGGGATAATGCGATAGAGGGAGAGAATGGGATAGGAGGAGAGAAGGGAGATACAAAGGGATAGAGGGAGAAAACAGAGGAAAGATAATGAGAGGGAAAAGTGGGAAAGAGAGTTGGTGGAGTGGGAGTGAAATATAATGTTGATTGACCCCTCTCATCCCCCCCCCCCTCTGTAGGTCCGGTGTTGACGGGCGTGGTGCTGAGCCAGTTGGGTGGGCGTGGTCATCGTCCCAGGTGGGTGGCTGCCGGCCAGTTGCTCGCCGCCCTCGCCACCTTTGCCACCCTCGCCACCGTGTTCACCCACCCGCCACCACCGTCACCCGCAGGTGAGTACTCGATCTCCCCTTTCCCAGTAATTATAATGGGTGATGTAGGTAAACAAACAGTCCATAATAGATGACGTAGGTAAACAAACAGTCCATAACAGATGACGTAGGTAAACAAACAGTCCATAATAGATGACGTAGGTAAACAAACAGTCCATAATAGATGACGTAGGTAAACAAACAGTCCATAACAGATGACGTAGGTAAACAAACAGTCCATAATAGATGACGTAGGTAAACAAACAGTCCATAACAGATGACGTAGGTAAACAAACAGTCCATAACAGATGACGTAGGTAAACAAACAGTCCATAACAGATGACGTAGGTAAACAAACAGTCCATAATAAATGACGTAGGTAAACAAACAGTCCATAATAGATGACGTAGGTAAACAAACAGTCCATAATAGATGACGTAGGTAAACAAACAGTCCATAATAGATGACGTAGGTAAACAAACAAGTGTAGGTGTATTAAGAAACAATAACAAGTGAAGGTCGTACACAGAGTGGATGGACAGCAGCAGTAGCAACATGGTGGGAGGTAAACAAACAGTCCTTCTGTGATGTGGAACGTTTGGTGGCCCTGGCAAGCACCACCACTGTCACCACCTTCCAGTTATCCTCCAACAGTGACACCAACAACACCTCCTCCTCCTCCTCCTTCAGCCTCCACACCGCCACCCCCCAGCCTGCCTCTGCCTCCTGTCATCCCGCACATAATCTGGTAGTGATGGTGTGGCTCCTTGCCTCTATACTCAATGGTAAGTGTAGTGTGTGTGTGTGTGTGTGTGTGTGTGTGTGTGTGTGTGTGTGTGTACAATATATGATAGTACAACATAAAAATACTAGTTGTGTTATTACCAAAATATTTACAGGTGTGGGCAGTTCCGTCATCTTTACCATAGGAATACCATACCTGGACGATGCCATCAACAAACATGACTCACCACTCTATCTCGGTATGTTTTATTACATATAGTACAATGTAATGGTTATATAATAATTCTCTGTGGGTGTACAGTACTCCATATATACCTGTACTGTCTATGTAAACTGTATACCTGGATGTCTATATAAATATCTAATTACGGTCAGCTGTCATCATCTCCACGGGTGTGTTTAGTCCTCTGGTCGGCCTCTCTCTGTCAGCCCTTACCTTCAACATTCACGTCTACCCGGGCCACTATCCAGGTCAGTAGTAGTAGTAGTAGAGGTATTATCATTATAACTAACAAATGATATTTTAGATGAACTGTATCCCCTGTCTAAATATATTCCCGTAGTTTTTAAAATAATTCCCTATAGTTCTAGATATATATGTACCCTTGTTAAATAATACCTCCTAAATTCTAGATCCATATACAGTATAGTAATAATTTTCAAGAACTGATTGTGTTAAGTTCTCATAAAAGTCATTAACTATATAGTACCTGTGTTAATATGTATATGATGTGTATGTGACAGGTATGGGTGTCGGGGAGCAGGGCTGGGTAGGAGCTTGGTGGATTGGTCAGCTTGGGTTTGCTTTGGTGATGCTGACCTTAGGCTGCGTCCTACTCACGTATCCCAGGTAGGTAAGATGATCTAATTAACTCCAGGTAGGTAAGATGATCTAATTAACACCAGGTAGGTAAGATGATCTAATTAACACCAGGTAGGTAAGATGATCTAATTAACTCCAGGTAGGTAACATGATCTAATTAACTCCAGGTAGGTAAGATGATCTAATTAACTCCAGGTAGGTAAGATGATCTAATTAACTCCAGGTAGGTAACATGATCTAATTAACTCCAGGTAGGTAAGATGATCTAATTAACTCCAGGTAGGTAAGATGATCTAATTAACTCCAGGTAGATGAGTTATGTAGTGTATGCTGACCTTTTTAATTCCTAGGGGTATGTGTGAGAAGGGAAGACAGGTAAGTTAAGTGTGTGTGTGTGTGTGTGTGTGTGTGTGTGTGTGTGTGTGTGTGTGAAACCAATTGAAAACCTGTTTGGTGAATTTACCGACTATTAATAATATTATTGTAATGAAGATTTGTGTGCAACAGGACACTAGGGAAGGCGACCACCGACACACAACACAGGCCAAGGAGCAGGATGACCACGACCACAGACATAGATGTGACGGTGGCAGAGATGGTGAGTACATCAGTGGTGCCTTGTGACCCCCCGCCACACACCACCCACACACACTACCCCCCTCCAGCCCCAAGCAATAATAATGATGAAGCACCTGAAGTCACAGACGAGGAGTATAGTATAGAGGAGATAGATCCTGTAGGAGGGTACGCGATGGATGAGAGAGACAGCGGGTACTCCATGGAAGAACTGGAGAACGGGGACGTGAGTGACGAGAGGCTCAGTCACTGTGTGGTGGAGGAAGGCAGCACACACACCCAACACAGGACCTTGGACCAGGATGTACCCAACAACACTGACGTCAAGTCGAAGGAAATTATATTTGGACTCAAAGGTAAGTTGTCAATTGTGATAAGTGCTTCCTGAAGATGGTAGCACTTGTAGGTAGTTCAGAAAACCTTCCGGTGCTGTTTAGATGTAAGATTACTGTATCTAACGTGATGATGACTAACCCAGACAAACATGGAAACGGCTATAAAACAATGGAGGAGAATGTACCTGAGAACTTGTGGTCATTACAGAGGTGTGGTCGACCCTTGTGAGACTGTTGAGGAACAAGGTGGTTGTGTACACCGTCTGCAGTGACTTCTTCCTGGTGCTGGCCACCTCCGCTGTCGTTGTTTGGCTGCCCAAGTACATCCATCATCAGTTCAGGGTCACCCAGACTAACTCCTCCTTCTACACCGGTCAGTGGGATCACTTTAAGTCTCCTGGAAACATTTGACCTCACTTAAGATATTTTGGGTCACTCAGAATCACTGTAAGTTATTCAGAATCAGTTAAGATTACCAGTTCTCCTGAAACTACTTAACACCACAATAGTACAGGTTCTCAATAGGTGTTAGAGATTCAACCATTATTTCTATATACAAAATCCTGTAATAGAGGCAGATGAAACACCAGCCACAGTGTCCGGCTGGACACACGAGAGGTAATGATCTCAAGCTAACAAACTCAAACAATTAGTTCAGTATAAAGACAAAAGTGATCAGAGTGAAGGTGTACTAAGTGTGTCTGCTTCAGGTATCTGTGGGACATCTTCAGCCATCGTGGGTGTAGGTGTGGGCGGGGTGTGGGTGAGGCGGTGCCGCCCGCGAGCCAAGACACTAGCCCTGGTGATGGCTGCTTGTATGGCTCTCCAGGCCGCTTGCCTCCTACCACTGACCTTTGTGTCCTGTGGCTTCGATGATGATCACCCGGGTGTGTTGACCCCTGACCTCAGGTAAGACCTTCCTGGGAGTAGCGTTTTTGTGTCGAGAAAGGTTGAGTCTGTGTGGGGTGTGTCACACGTGTTAGTGTCTTATGTTGACATACTGTGGGCAACGAGGATGTGAGTCAAGTAGTGTAATGTGAGTTTGACTTAAGCAAAATGTATATGGAATATTACAGTGTAAACCATCCTAATACTGTATCATATGTTTTAGTAGTGAATAAGATCCAACTGATTGTGTGACTGTAACTAGAGGGTTTGTTACAGAAGTATAGAGCTTCACCGTGGGTGTAGTGAGGGGTGTAGGTGTGTAGCCGCCAAAGTATCACCAGTGTGTGTACAGGACGGACCCATCACACTCTCCTATTACTCCCCATGTCATGCTGGGTGTCCTCCTCCTTCCCCTCACACCATCACCCACCGTAACACCTTCGTAAACTGCACGTTAGTACCTGTTATCTTTGTTATCACCACTCACCTTACCTGTCAACACAACACAAGACCAAGCAAAATAACATCCACAATATACAACATGTTTTGGTCTGTTACTAAGAGAAGCAGTTCAGTTACCACCTCATACACATCGTCAAAGTTCTCCCTGAAGTATATAAACACACGTGGGGGAAATAAACACGAAGACAAGCTAATATCATATATACTGTATAATATAAATAGGAAAATATACTGTGTGTGTGTGTGTTCGTTTTTTGTACACGCCTCACATAGTATTCCGTGTACGTCAGGTGTGGGAGCGCAGCGGCTAAGGTGAGTGAGGGATACTGTCGCCACACCTGCCCCTCCTTCATGCTGTACAACGTGGTCACCTGTATCACCAAGTCCCTCCTCCCAGCGGTGGTCATCGGCAGCCTCCTCATCACCCTCAGGTACCTTACTCATCACGTGTGTTGTAATGTCTTGTATTCCATGTTTTCTGGTTTGGTGTTCCTGTGTTTTAAATGTTTCTCCTGTTTTATGAGATGATTACTTACATTCATCATTACGGTGTGTCAGGTGTGTAGCCATGCAGGACAAGCCAGCCGTATTAGGTATTAAGAGCACAGTCATGTCCCTGGCAGCCATGACCAGTCCATTTGTGGTGGACACTATAATGGATTCCTCTTGTCTGATGTGGGAGGTAGCATGTGGCGCCCAGACCTCCTGTTCCCTCTACAACACCACTGACTTCAGGTGAGTTACGAGAGGCACCAGTTAGGAATGTTTCCCCCATAACTATTACATCAGAGAGGAGTTAAGGATATCGCACCAGTAATTAAAGTCTCATTATCACACAGACCTAAGGCACTGACACCGCTCCATCACCCCACAGGTACAAATTCCACGGACTGGCCTGCGTAGTCTTCGTTCTAAGTACCTTCTTCACCCTGCTGGTCTCAAAACAGGTTAAACATCTCGAACTCTTGGAGGAGACACATTACAACTTGCCGTCTTTCTCTTTCTTTGACGGTGGAACGAGAAACAGTCCAACCATCAGGAGAAGTTTCCGTAAAATGTCGAGGCTAGCGGCAGGTAGAAGGTCCTCTGGTAAATGGAAGGTCCCCACGATGAACCACACTCACACAGGAGATGACGGTAGAGATAGGGAGCTTACACAACAAGAAAAGGGTGTGAGAGATGAAGGAAGTGTGAGAGATGAAGGAAGTGTGAGAGATGAAGGAAGTATGAGAGATGGTGTGAGAGATGAAGGAAGTATGAGAGATGAAGAGGTCCAGAACGTAGAGCCTGTGATCATGTATTCTATTCTGCCGTCGATGGTGATGAAGACTACAGGTGTATAGTTGTCTGAAATGGACACAACAGAAATTAGAATAAGATTTTTTTTTTACAACCAAAGATGTATAATGACCCCCCCCCCTACTCCCTGAATCCGCCCCTGAAATACACCACACAGCTTCTTCGTATAAACCTCTCTCTACAGTGACCCTGAAACATCCCTTCTAACTTTATCGTTTGTAAATAACTCATACGTGTGAATTCATTTGGATAAACCATTCTCAAGATATCCACCGTTAAACATAATGTGCTGGGCGAGGTATAAACAATCTAATAGAAATTATAGTGTCCGAGTATTAACAAGGGAATGTGTATGTTACTTTAGGCTTCACTACAGTAGATGGTGTGGTACATAAGAACATAAGGAGTCTGCAATAGGTCGGTTGGCCTGTGCATGGCAGCTCCTCCATTCTTATGTTCTTATGTGAAGAGATGTAAAAGAGGTAACATTAGTATTGTTATAAGTTTATTTTTAAGTTTGTGTGAAAAAATAGACCGTAAAGGAGAGAGAAAGAGTAAGTTGCCACACTGCCTCAGGTAACTGGCAGTGGTGTGGGAGTCTAAGTGAGTGACACAATTATAATAATAATAATAATTAACGGTTTATTGAAAGAGCATGGCAACCGGAAGGCTGAAAATATACAATTGCATAATTGGGGAATGGGTCTCTTGATATACAAATGATATACAAGTAACCTAAGTGATACAAATATGATATATAATAATGTGTTGATAATTTTTACAATGGTTGGGACTGGGCTGTTCTTATAGCAATCGGTTCGTGCTCGTATGGGATGCGGTTGGGCAGGTGTGTGGCCACGTGGCCAGGACAGTAGCTTGGGGCAGTTCAGGTGTGCTCCATCCGTCAGGTTAGGTCAGGTCAGGTTAGGTTAGGTTAGGTCAGGTTAGATCAGATCCAGCCACACTCAGTATTGCTGTGCTTTTGTGCTTTTCCTTCGAGTTGAAATTGCCACTTTTGTATATCACTTGTGGGTTGATCATAATACGTCTGCCGTCTTTAGATTATTTTATCATTTCTTGTATCAATATCTATTAATAAATATGACTAAAGAGAAAGTACAGTCTCTCAAACTATAATTTCTTTAATCGTCAATGTACTAATGTAATTACTAACCTTATGGGCTAAAAGATCTTTGTTGTTGAAGCGCAGAGATGTGTTTGATAGAACATAATAAGAAACAAACTAGAGTTGATATGAGTACAAGTTGGGGGTCAATTTGTTCGGTTGATCTGGAGCTAAATACAGTCCTCACTAAAGGTCTGAAACATAGACAACTTCAAGTAAACACATGTCAGTAAGCAGCTCTGATAAAAATTCTAATGTAGGTGGGAAGCCAGAGGAATAAAGGGGTGGGGTCAGGTAAAAAAAGTTGCCAACTAGGATTATCACCGAGCCGATATAAAACTACCTCTCCTATGAGTAGCCCAGCTGTCCAGTAGTACCAGTACCCAAGCCACTACCAAGTTCCTACCTGCTGAACCCTAACTTGGTTACTTACCTGGTACCACACTACCAGTAGCTGGTCAGCTTTCAAAGAGAGAGGGAGTGTATCACAATTTGCGTGTCTTGTCCAGTGTTTTCCGAAAATTCTCCGCTCATAGCTGCTCTATCTTCCTCGTATTGTTTGCATCATGGGTAGACTTAGTAAAACCCAGATAAGACAGCGTCAACTACTTGCATATGCAAGAAAGACCCGACAAGAGAAGAGAAAGGAAAGAACACGTGGTAGCCAGGCGCCCCTGCCTCCTGCTCCCCCACCACCTCAGCCTGGGCCTTCTAACGCTTCTCCCTCCCGTCCACTAACAAGTGCAGAAAAGAGAAAAAAACGCACTTTTGGTAAATCTGAAGGAATTATATCATTAAGTGAGTTTGTACTGGTGCAGAAAGAGTGCATTTTCAATATTGCGAAGCACGTGCAGTGTGATAAGTGTGGAAAGAAACAGACTGGATGTAAATTTTCTCATCATCGGGCACACACAGGTGTAAAGCTTATCTGTCGTGTGTGTACTGCAGTGATTATTGATAATGTCAAGGACATTAAGTAGCAGTTGAATAATATGCATATTGTGACAATAATAATGGTTTATTTAGTTATGTTGCTGGGGGGTGGGTTTAGTGCTGTGGACTGTTGAGAATATACTCCACTTTACACAAACAACTTAGATATAAAAAATTTATTACATCACAAGCCATTGACAATGCTTAGGACATCTTAAGAGAGGAGTTGTGTTACAGTAATAGTTTTATATAGAACTGGGTCGTGGTCCTGACGAGAAAGGGGTGCTTGATATTGACAAAACATCTGATGGGTCATGGCTCACCGGGGTAGCATGACAAGTGGAAGGAACCCCCTATACCAGAGTAGTGTACACGTACCTAGAAAATATGGATGCCACGATGAATCAACCCATCAAGGAGAAAATTAGGAATAGAAGGCCGATATCGTCACAGCGCTTCACTTGTTTAGAAGAATATTTCTCAAAAGTAAGTTATTGACCTTGTCATTTCTCGGTTATTTTTAATTCGATTTTCATCATTCTTGTGTTATTTTAATTATCTTTGAATATACTATACCGCATTACAGGATGAATACAATAAGTTAACTCACCAATCTTTTATTTTTATTTATCATGCGCCCCCATATGAATTAGCGTAAAATGAATTAAAAAATAGAGGTGCGTAAATATCAGAATTAAGACAGTTCATTGTTTACATAAAGTACTTAGCTATAAATCCGTATAAACTTATTATGAGTCTTATACAATCGGAGTAATAGCGCATGAACTTTAGGCATTATCAATAATACTAATATATATATTTTTGTTTTTTTCAGGGACCCATCCCACATCTCAGGACTTAGATTTAAGTTCATTTATGTCTGTCAATAAATAATATCAAGCGCTACAACGTGTTTTCTTTATTCTCGCTATAATTCATCTGTTTACGACAAAGCGTGGCAGGTCCCTGATAATATCAAATGCCAACAGGCCTGTATACTGTAATGTCAAGGAGGGATACCAGTTGAGAGCAGCGGCTGGGGAGGTGTAGATCAAGGGCAAGTGAGGATGTAGTGAGAGAGGGTGTGAGTTTTGTAATACTGTATTAGTTTTAGTAATAGTGGAGTCTAACAATGGAGTATCCTTGGAGGAGCGTAATTTGCTTCCCCTCTGTTATGTAAACGTCATGCCCATTAGTGCTAATTGTAAACTGTTATTATTATTAATATTATTATTGTTATTATTTTATTATATTTTCGCTCACCAGGCCTTGATGTAGGTCATAAAATGACCTGTGGTCGGGTGGACTAATGCCCGTAAAATAAAATAAAAATGCTGATAACAATGCTCTCTTAGTGTCAGGTGAAGATCCAAATGATATAGCTAACGAGTTATCATCTGAAGTGGAGTCCTGCAAACATTTACTTTTACTTTTATCCTCTTCGCCACTGATCGGCCGCTTGGCGATCGGTCACGTCTCTGTTAAGGCGGCGTCACACTTGCATTTCTATTGTCAACTTTTTTCACGAATCGTCGGCGGTTTGTCAAATTGTCAGACCATCTGCACTGGCAACTCGTACGACAACCTAACAACTTACTTATACTTTTTTACTTACGTTTATCCTCTTCACCGCTGATCGGCCACGTCTCTGTTACTCACTGTTGGCAAGTACTGGGCATGAACCGGCTACTGGTGAACCTGCTCACACTCTGCCGGAGTCAACTTAACATCTTTAATTGATACTACAAATATTTATATAAATAAAGTAATTTCTACTTCAAATATAAACTTAAAATTATTATGAAGTCATTATTACTCTTCTCCCCAAGATTACTCATTATTATGTTTAATTTAGTGATTTCCAAAAGGTAAGAAAATGTCATTTGCTGTTCATATTTTGACGACGCGGGAAAAGCAACGACATGACGGAGCCAACAGATAAAATAATTTCCCCAGTATGGACACGCCTCTCCGAGGACTTCTTGGTGGACCAGATAAGGCAGCACCGCTGTCTCTGGGATCACCTTTTCATACACCATAAAAGGCTTATAATTGCTGCGTTTTCTTCGTCAGTTGGATTCATCTTGTTTGTTGACAGTTGTCGAAGGTAAACTCAGGCGAGTTAGTTCTAAACGCATGTGTGACGGTGAACAACAAAAAAGTTTGACGATTTTCTGAAGGTTGACAAAAAAAAAACGAAAAAATGCCAGTGTGACGCCGTCTTTACGCACTGTTGGCAAGTACTGGGCATGCACTGGCTCCCGAATGTATCTGTACCTGCTCCACTGTTGGTCAAGTCTGGTCTTGAAAGTTGAAACAGCTCACACTCGGTGCCGTCACAACATTCAAAATGGTAAATTAATTCATTGTAATGTGTGGGAATGAACCATCTCAAGTGTAGCCTCAGTGAAATACCTGGGACTAACCCTTGACTCTTGTTTGTCTGGTGAATTAATCGTAAGTAATATACTGTAGTTTAAAGTAATGTCAAAATAAAACTTCTCTAGAACTGCTCAATACCCCCTCAGCTGATGTCCACAGAACCCTATGCTTGGCGCTCATACGCCACGTGACTATTCTGCTCGCCGTAGTTCTGTACTGTATAGTAAAATCATGGATACATGCATTCAAATGACTTAAAAGTATTAATTTTTATATGAATAATTGGAAATGTCAGAAAATACAAAAGAAATCCTTGTGTTCATGAAATCCACCTAATACATGTGAATACTCGATAACTAATCAAATACAATACCTGAATACAGTACAGTACTCAATACTAAATACCCTAGCAGGTCTGGTGAAAACATGCAGTGTATTAATTACTATACTACAAGAAAAGTTATCACAGACCGTAATATAAAAGAAAAGTGTATTTTTTTTATCTTAGTGCACATTAAAATACAGTGAATATCGTATGCAGATTATCACTCATGTGAATTACAATAACCCGACCCACTACAAATAACCCAGTGGTCGCTGTGTGCAAGGTTATGACGTCACATGTAAATAAACAAGCTCGGGCACGCGGCGACAGTGCAGCTCTATATCTAACACCTTGGCAATATATGTAAGTATGGAAAACGAACAACTGGTATTTGTAGGGACAGTAAAGCACAAAACAAGTAATATTAGATGTATAAAGTAAGTTAAGGGATTTAATTCTCCATACACGTGAACGAGACGTGTGAACCCATTACCACAAAACTGAGAACAATTATTTTTATCCTCTTCGTCTCTAATAGGCTCGTTTTATGATCAACTGGATTTTATCTTAGGTAATGGTGGAGCAGACGGTTAGCACCAAAATTAACTTATGGAATTGCACCAAAATTTCTGGAGATGTTATTTGCATGTTCGTAATCTACATAAACGATCTAGATACTGGGATCAGCAGTGACATAAGCAAGTTTGCGGATGACACCAAAATAGGGCGGCAGATTAATTCAGGGCAGGATGCAAATGCATTACAGGAGGATCTAAATAAACTGCAGGGGTGGTCTGAAAAATGGCAAATGAAATTCAACACCAGCAAGTGCAGCGTACTTAATATTGGAAGAACAAATACTGTCAATGTATACAGCCTTAAAAACATCAACCTAAAGAAGTCGACTTGTGAAGGAGACCTAGTGGTACTTGTAAGCCCGGACCTACGGCCTAGAAAACAGTGCGTTAATGTTCGAAATAAGGCAAACAGAGTATTGGGTTTTATATCTAGAAGTGTAAATAATAAGAGTGCAGAGGTCTTATTGCAACTATATCTTGCACTAGTCAGGCCGCACCTCGATTATGCGGTTCAGTTCTGGTGCCCTTATAGAAAGGATATCAATTCACTAGAGTCAGTGCAGTGAAGAATGACGAAAATGATTCCGGGTCTTAGAAACCTTCCATATCAGGATAGGTTAAAGAAACTAAACTTGCATTCCCTAGAAAGACGAAGACTGTGGGGAGATATGATAGAAGTATTTAAGTGGGTGAAAGGAATCAATAAAGGGGATATAGATAACGTTCTTATAATATCTGAGCAGGATAGGACTCGTAGCAACGGATTTAAGTTGGATAAGTTTAGGTTTAGGTGGGAGATAGGAAGGAACTGGTTCACAAATAGGGTGGTGGACGAGTGGAACAAGCTTAGCAACTTTGTAGTAAGTGCTGGAATGCTGGAAAGTTTCAAAAAGAGGCTAGATAGATTCATGGATGATAGAGAGTGGTAGTAACTCTCGACAGGAGCTGCCATGTACAGGCCAACCGGCCTATTGCAGACTCCTTATTTTCTTATGTTCTTATGATAACAAACAAGAAAATGGAAATGACAGTACATAGAATCTAACAGAACCTGGTAATTTCTGAGAACACCTCTGCCACCAAAAGGAATTGCTCAATTTCGTTCATTTTTTCCATAGGTGTTCTTATCGCTATAAAAAGTATTTTAAATGAGGCAATGACTCTATTTTTATTTATAAGTATTTTTAGTTTTCTCTATTTATGATCATAAATCACCTGTAGTGGGCAGGGCATAAAGGATGAGGAAAAGTGCTGATTAAAACAGGTGAAAAATTTATCATATGACACTAAGTTGATATCTGTACAGTACGTGATTTGTATGTGAAGAATGAATTTAATACCGTAAATACGCTTCCAAAATATCTGCCAAGTCACTGCATGTCATCTGTTTGTTTACAACCAACCTGCTTGGTCCAAGCGTACTCCCATTTCCACAAAAAGGGTAAAATTACACCATGAAGCTTGAACAAAGCTGTTTTCATTGGCACTAGATATCAAAATATGTATTTTCTGTTTAGTATGGTGGGGGTCTGCCCCCGACTAGTAAGTTAGGTAAGGTTAGGTATGTGTCTTTGGTTTGTTTGGTCAAGTTCTATTAGGTTCTAGTAAATGTTGCTTCTTTTAAAATACTGTACTTCATGATAAGAACATTTGTGGAAAAATGATCGAAATCAAACAGCTCCTTCTGGTTGTCAATAAGCATAATATTAAAATGATGATATTTCCTTTTCTCATAGATTAGATGGTGACCTCTCTTGGTGTGTGTGTGTAGTAATATCAGAAGATGACATCCTTCACTAACTCTGGGTGTGAGGCTATGGGCCGGTCTCTTGAAGACGGGGTCACACCACCACCCACACTGGATATGGAGGAGATGTATGAAACCACTCGGTGTGTTCAGTGGATCCAGGCGGGGGGCTACAGGAAGGTGAGAGTTGGCTGTTGGTGTTTTTGGTGGTTAATGTGAAAGAACACTTTATTTTATCAGCCAATCTTGGGCATCCCATGCAGTCACATAATGGTAGTAGCCAGCTGTAACTCACTAGCACTCTATTCCTACCCACCCATACACTCAGTACGTGTCAACATTGTCTAGATACATGCTGAACTATATACCTGTGTTGTCTACAGTATACATGCTGAACTGTAGCTATACCAGCAGTGGCACTTTCCTTACACTCTGGGGTAATGAGTCATTTAGCTTGAAAATTTACTCCCGTGTTAATATGTGTTTTCTCTTATCAGGTTGGACTCCAGTTTCCAGATGAGCTGTTAGGGGAGGCTGCAGGTGTATGTCAAACTATAACACTACAGCTTGGATTCAATGTTTTCATCCTCGGAGACACCACATATGGCAGGTCAGTTCCAGGCACAGTGATGTGTGTGTATGAAGATGCGGAGTGGGATTAATGTCCAGTGTAAGCCAGTACTGGGATACACATGAAAGAAAAATGACTAATTAATCATGAAATCTTTTTCTTTCTTTTTTCTTTATAGTTTCACATTTTTATATATTTTCAGCTGTTGTGTTGATGAGGTGGCAGCTGAACACATCGGTGCTGATGCTGTCATCCACTTTGGTCGCACTTGTCTCAGCCCCTCCAGAAGATTGCCAGTTCTCTACATCTTCACAAGAATAAAGGTGAACATCCCTGCTGTGGTCTCCAGTCTGGATGCCGCTATTGAGGACCGGACGAAGGGTTTGATATTGGTGTATGACACAAGGTGCCATTATGCTGCTGGTAGGTTTATTTTACTCTCTTCATTCTCTGAAAGTATTTAGGCTGGGTTCTAGAACAACACAACTCTCACCCCCCCTTCCCTTAGTTTCTCTGCAAGAGACTCGACCATTCAGAGTATTATCACACAAGGGGGTTTTCTGAGGTTGCTCTGTGTATGTTGGGGATAATCAGTGTTCACAGTGGATGTTATCGAGGTGTATAGGAAAGAAGTAGGTTGAAGTTAAGTGTTGAAGAAGCCAATGAAGCTGGGACATGTATGAGAGGTCCCCATTTTCACATTGAATATACAACAAAATAATGACGTACAGCAAACTTTCAGTTTGTTATATTTATGTAATCTTCACAGAGGTTAATGCAGTACAAATATGGTAACTGCAGCTAATTTGATCAAGTCTCTTAAAATTTTAATTATTTTTACTGAGGCCTTTGCCTAGAAATTACCATTTAGATTTCACTATTAGTATACTGTAGTGTGGGTTGTAGGTGCCTAAGCTGTCTTGTTCATGATGCAGCTATTCTGAAGGTTATAACTTAATGATTTTACAAAAACTTAATTTAGAATATTTATTTGCATAATGCAGCACTTCATATTATTCACATTTATCTTGTCATTATACAGATGAAATGGTAGAAAACATAAAGAAGAACTTCCCTTACCTCTTAGTTACAACCCTCCTGCTTGATGATGGTTGTAACAGTAATGTGGGCAGTTCACAACAAATTGTAACCAACAGAGAAACTTCCTGTGAAAATAAGAACAACTGTCACAACAGTGCAAGTCCACCACATAGTGAATGTAAGAATGATTGTCAGAATAATGACAGCACAAAAGAGAGCGCTCAAGATTTTACTGGCAGACTTACTTTCAATGGTCGTACTGTATGTTTACCTAGTTTATCTAATATTAGAGATTTCAACTTTATTTATCTCGGTACTCGTGGGCCACCGCTGAACAGTTTGTTGATGAGATTTTCAGAGAAAACATTTTATTGTGTTGACCCAAAAGACGGATCATTGGAGGTCACATCAGGTGTTCGTACTGTGATGAGTCGCGGTGCTAAGTTAGAAAAGGCTAAAGATGCTGAAATTATTGGAATATTAGTAGGCACTCTGGGAGTTGCTAATTATCAAAATGTTATATCAAGAATGAAAACAATTATTAAAGCTGCCGGGAAACGAAGTTATACGTTTGTTGTTGGTAAACCAAATGAAGCCAAATTAGCCAATATATCAGAAGTGGAAGTGTTTGTTTATGTGGCGTGCCCCGAGACAACCATCATTGAGCGCAACACAGACCCAGTGCTCTACAGTAAGCTGATAACACCATGGGAACTTGAGGTGGCACTATTGTCAGGGCAGGAGTGGAATCTTGCCTTTGAAACAGACTTCAGGCAGTTGCTTCCTGGTGGAAGTCGATACATTGAGGCTACAAGTGAACCAAGGGAAGAAGAAGCTAGTGTGTCACTGCTGACCAATAAGACACAGACTCTTGGTGTCCGGTAAGTTCTCACCTATCTACAGGTTATTTCTCTAATATAATATAATTACTGTATGTTGATTCCAGTATGTCATTTTCAATTGATATTATATTTTCATGGTTTTACCTGAGTGAATGTATTCAGCATTCAGCTATAGGTGTACAGTAGAGTACTACCTTACTATGCATGTAAAGGTAGACTTCAGTTTATTGCCGTGGTTCAGTATGGGATGCTCCCAGATGCCAGTGTCAGCATCTCAGCATCTTCCAATGTTTTGATGAAAATGGGAAAAAAATTTCCCGACCCCACAATATAAAATTGATGCAATGGATATTGGTACGTATTTATATTATCATATCTTTGAAAATCCATACTATATGTATACTGTATCTGTTAAATCTGGGTCTAACTGTACTACAGTATACTGTACTGTATAGAGCAGTTTGTCTTTATTGTGAATGAATTGGTATAAAAACATTGATAGTACAGATCATGTTAATCAAACAATATGCAACATGTATTAACTCATACAGGATTTATGTTTTATTTCAGAGGTGACGTAGAAGTAGCTTTAGACAGCAGTACAGGTGCAGTGGTACTTCAAGATGGACGTACAATTGCTGCCATACATGTAGGTGGTGGTGGAGAGGCTCTGAAGGGCCGTACATGGCAGGGCCTCGACCCTTCACTACCCTCTGTTGTTCCTGTTAATTCTGTAATTGAGGGGCGAAGTGGTATTGCATCTGGTTATGAGGATGAAAAGTTCACCGAGTTGTAACATGCAAGTATTAATGAATTTGTTGGTTTTAAAATTTGCATTTTATTCTTGTTCTTTTAAGAGCAAAATATAAAGAGGCTCAGTTAAAATCAATACCAGCATACTTAAGGGATGCTGCTTATTATGAAATAAAAGTTGCCTTCAAGTGGATGCCTTGTGTCTTCCTGTTCCCCAATGCCCTTCTTTGTAAGAGTGCTTGTCCTGATAATGTGCATCCAAGAGTGTGTAGTGAGTGAGTTGTTTAATGAGCTCTCAGAACTCCCTTAAAGTCCTGTTCTGCATAAGCAGGCATGAACAAAAGATCCCCAATGAAACTGGCACATTTGAGTCCTATATTCAAAAAGGACGATCGCCTCTCCATGAACAACTACAAGCCAGTGAGTTTGACCAGCACTGTGTGTATAAGAGAAATAACTGACCAGTGATGAAGAGGGTAAACCACTGCATGAGAAGATTTTTACATTCTTACGACAGGTAAGATTACTCTGTAATATATTGTAACAGTGCAATGAATTGGAAGCTTCATTACAATATAGTAGTGATATTTTGCACATGCCAAAATAAATGTACAGCATTTCCTTTGATATGTAGAACAGTAAATGACAGTGGAAGAAGCCTATCCTGTGCATTAGTTAATCTTGGAAATTTTTCCTTGTACTGTACTTCACTGTATTGCTTTCATGAACTAAGTTTCTTGGTGTTCAAGGGAAGTATCAGAGGGAAGAATCGTACAGAGTCTCTTCAGTATGTACAGTACATTACTTGTTCCAGCATGTATCAGATCACATTTTTGTGCTTCTATATTCATTTTCTTAAATTATCCATTTCCAAATTTTTTTGAAAATTGCAGATGCTATTCTAGTTTTAACACCCAAAATGGCAACACATACTGTACCAGGTTCGGCAATCAGTATATAAAGTTGACAAAATTATCGTATATATTTAAAGTATTCGCTAAATGTTTTGTATATCACCTAATCTTATTGAAATTTTTCAGTTGCTTTCATTTGTTAGAGAATGTTGACTGGCATCTCAGAAATTTGGGTTATTTGTGGCCATGGGCAGTGACTTGGGAAGCACAACCACTAGTCTACACACTGGTTTATTCATCTTTTGGAAATGCTGCATAAAATTGCAAAGGTAAATAAAAAGGCATTTGTTGTATTTGAAATTTCTACTATTTACATTGGTACATACAGTTGTCACACATACTACTGTATTGGCAATATACACAAGCAATTTACAATGTCCAGAAACATCTAAATACTGTAAAGGATTATAATTATAATCTTACAATGAAATATGTCCACTTTTCAAAATCTACCGCACTTATTTATTCACTTGTAGACAATCCTTTAAACTGTTCACTTACAATATAGATATCAGAACAACTCAGAAATAAAATAAAAAAATAAATAAAAATTTCAATATTAATAGATGCCATTTCTTTTACATATTTTAACAGTTTTGCTTGAACGAAATTTTAAAATAAATTCCTTCAACTGATAAACAGAAATTGCAGAACTATAAAGGCATTTAGAAAAAAAATGAGTACTGTATCTGGAAATGCAATTGCTAAAAACTACAAAACTAACTCTTTGAAAATATTTCCACCTATATACATATTCAATATCTGTATAGCACATATAAGATACTGTACTAAGAAAGTTAATCAGTACAGTACATATGTCACTGAGAAAGAAAATAAAAAGATTGAAGCGTTTGTATGAGTGTTGACCTTTGAGAGAGAACTAAACAAGCACTGGTCAGATGAGAATATATACCATACAGAGCTCTAGGTATCAGTGATCAAAGTCTCTAGTCTGCGTGCTTTAGTACTGACCAGTGCTATACAGGTAAGGATGTACTGTATATGACTAATACAGTACCTGTTTTCTGTTGTAATATGAGCAAAAAATATTAGGTAGATAGGTGAGGAATTTTCCCCCTCTTCAATTTCATTATTTCCACAACCTGAACGTAACTTCTTGTACAAACTCTCTCTGTGTCAAATACATTTTTTGGTACAATACACTGTGATGGTGTGACTATGGCCCTGTCAATCTTTGGGCCTTAATATTACTTTTAACCTGTCGTTCTTTATTAATAAATAAAACATCAATATACAAAAGTCTTAATAATACTCAGTATCTTATTCATTGTCAAATTCATAATTTGTTATAAGGAATAAATTTTGTCGTAGAGTTCCAAAGCCACACTTGTTCATTATGGATTTGTCATCAGGGAGAAAAAGTATGTAACACCTTATACTATTTAAGACAATGTAAAGTCAAATACAGTTGTTCTCTCAAATTTCAAGTATTGGATAGCTAACACATTAATCCTTTCTTATTCTGTTTTAAATATATAAGTATTAATACAGTGAAATAATGATGAATGATAACGAATTCTTATAGAACTGATGCAAACTATGGTAAATCACATTCTTATGGGACTACTTCAAATATTGTTGACATACAAATTCAAATTGATCTTTACTGTCAAACTGTACTGCTGTTGTTTCACTATATGTCCGAGGTTTGTTCTCCATAGTTAAAGCTTATGGAGTTGCCCATGCTAAATTCCTCCTCGTCAGCCTCCCTACCCTAACCCTCATGGAGCCTTACTTTAAAGCTCTCATCACTGCTAATTATTGAAATACTGTACCATCCCTTATGAAAGCCTCCAGGTCTATTTCTGTTACATCTCATGTTGAATATTCTACTTTATGCCATCTTTAACTCTACCAGCACTTATCTTAAGTTTCTGCCAGTTACACACACACACACCATAGAACTCATTAACCACGACTAACATTAATACATTACTGTGAAATAAGTTAATTAGTTGGTTGTCTGATTAATCTTACTATAGAATACTGTAGTTCAGACCTTAACTTACTATCACACTATAGACACACCAAGGCATTATGAACATGGCATATAATAAGTACAGTACAGAAAAATTTGAATTCTTACCTGGAATGCCTTGCTTGCATCCACATCAAAGGAGCCAACAGGCCACTCTGTTACTCATATGTTTTACTCTCTGTTCCCCCTACCTCCTCTCATGTCTTCATTTGTTATATCTTTTCCTCAGTGTGTTTGGAGTCTTCCTTTACCTGCCTGGAATCATTTTAGTTTTCTCCAATGAGAAGTGGCATTTGTTACTTGTTGAATAAGCAGAGAATTTCTGGCCAGTGTTCAGTAAGTAGAGATTTACTGTTTGGTGTTTAATAAGCAAATATGATGTTTCAGACAGATGAAAAATGTTTCATCTCACTATTGTACTTAAAACATGCCTAGTGTATAGTAGCTTTCACTGAAAATAAAAAATTATTAAAATTAATAAAATGCACGAACTTGATATGCTGTCCTAATTTATACAATTTCTTATTATCAGTTACTGGAATTCTCTTAATTAAGGAGCATGTATAGTACAGTCCAGTATTTCACGTGTCAGCTCATTAGCCATTTAGGGGGTCGATCTCTTCTTTGCTTACTGTCCAGTGTTAGTACAGGAGGATAACCAGAGTACATAGAAAGAACCTGCCATGTTTGGTAGGGTCTCGCTGGATAACACCCTTGTCACATCTGACCTGGGCCAGGAATTGAAACCAAGAACACAGTATTAGCAAATAAGAAGTCCCTAACCCTAACTGGCTCCTGAAACAAACCTGAGTCTCTGTGGAATATTGATAGAAGTTACACTAGTGTCTCATGGTTTAATATCAAAATTTATACAATGAAATGCAAAATCTGCAGGAAAACATTTGCTGTCCATTGGAGATGTTCAGTTGTAATAGGATACGAGTAGGCCATGTAGAAATCTTTGGGTCTTATTGTGAAAGGAGAACATGACAGCTCAACTCGATTATTACAGCATTGATTCGGCTACTCTGTGCCATACCAGAAAAGTGCTTTCTAGAGAGGGAGAGAGAAACTCACATATACATACAAGAAGAGTATCATGAAGATGTGAACACTGGTGGATGGGGTGAAGTTCATTCTTATGCTCAACAAAGGAAGGAGTACAATATATGTGATCGAGAGGTTGTTTGTAAAAGGTTTTAACCAGTGCTTAAACAAAAATATGACAATATTCTTTGGGATACAATTCTCAGCAGGACTGGAAGTTAAGTTGTGGGCAACAAGGAGATTGCACATGTAAGAGAAATGATGTGCATGTTGACTCTCAAAGTAAAAAATACAAGAATTCTTCAAGACCTCACATGTGCAGTATTACTTTATCGTCAATGGATGGACCTCAAACCTGAGAACAAAACAGGCACACTTAAAATGGCTTGTTCCCAAATAGAGGAACCTGCAATTAAAACATTCCAGACTTTTGGAAAAAAAATTGCAAAGTCAATTCCTTAATTGAATGCTCTTAATACATAAAGCACTTAGCTGCCCAAAACCCGAAGCAATATGAGAAAGTGTCCAATCAGGTGAGGAGCAACCTGGAACCTGAGGTATTTGGCAAGGGATCCACTGTTACAGCCTGGTCAGATTGCAGGGCACATGTAAATCATTACAATTACTCATTCCTCCCCGTTTCATCAATTTAATATTTAGTTCAGTGCTCTTCTTCCCATGTAGTTGTCAGTCAAATTATTTATAAATCATAGTGTTAAGATATAAACATAATACTGTACACTTATTTCTCAAGGAATTATCTGCAAATACCCCATGTTAGTTTATATACACATGCAGACCTCTTTTAAGAGAACCTCATCTCACATATTTTCATTGAAGAGCCACGAAAAAATATTAATTTAATAGATATACAATAATATCATTAAAAGGAAACTCTAAAGAAACAAATTCCATCAAAAGTAAAAGAACATCCTCTCAGCTAATCAATTTGTTCTGTACTGTACAGCCTGCCAGAACTTAAATAAGTTCTGTCTCTTTACCGTCCTTTTAACAATCTCCTGCAAGTGTTAAGTGAAAATTTTAGGCCCATCATGTCTGGAACATGGTCAGTAAGTGAGAGCATTGGTAAAGGAGTCAAGGTGACCAGGAAAGTTAATGACATGGACGGCTGAGGCAGACGTGGACCGGCCGCTTTGCCGAGCTTCTACTATGATTAAAACAATATCTATAAAAAGCCATAACATCTGCAGAGCCATTACTATTTCCCAAGGAAGCCATCCTGTAACATTTATAAGGTAAGAATTGACGCTGTCAGGACTATGATATGATGATCTCTTGTAATGGATTCATCATTTAACACCCCCCCCCCCTCCTGGAATGTATTGCATCTGTCATAAGAGGAGGTCTGCCTGTAAAGTATATTCTTTGAAGTGTAAGTGGCAATGTTAACACTTAATTAGTTGATTAAAACCATTAAACAAATACAGATTTCTGTCACTGTCTTTAACAACACAGTACAGCAGTAAATGAGTTCTGTAGTTCCTAACACTGACAAGAATAAACATAATACCCACAGCTGTGTTGTTAGAGCGTCTGCTCATTCTCACTCCGCGCCATCTATGGTATTTAGTAAATATCACAGATAATAAATTATTACAATGCTCCTCCTAACAATCATCAGTAACTGTCCCTGCTAGATGTTTTGAGTTCCCATGTTTTGTGAGTTACCAAAGAGTAAACAAATGTAACTATAAACCTAACCTTAATTTTGATTTTTGTACAAAAATGGCCATTACTACTAAAATATAACAAACATAAAATTTTAAATAACTTATACAATAACTAAATACATAATTTACAATTTCTCTACTTCTGTGCCCAACTTGCATTTCTTAATATTGCATTGATTTGTGTATTACTTAAGACTGAACGTGTACAGTCTCTGTTTAATGCAGTGATACAGTTCAGGCATATTAGACAGCATCTTGTCTATTACTGCATACATGCACCCGCTCTATGAAGTTTACATCAGGGGGTAAATTAAAATTGAAAAATAAACAATTCTGCTATGCAATAATGTATGAACTGCAAGCACTGCTATCTAATTTCAGAGATACTTTATAGCAAGGAAGTATTCTGCTGCAATATATAATGTAATGCCTGTTATTCTGTTGCCTGTACATGCAAGAGCAATACTTGTGCCTATACTAACTACTCTAATTCATTCTGTCTTAAGTTGTTGTCATAGTTCTTACCTTTATCTTACAATTAGTCCTATAAAGGCTCTTTTACCAACTTATAGTGATGGTAACCTTGCTATGTGAGGACCTACTGTATATGGATGGGGTTAAGTCTTACAGTAATTATGAATGTAATGCTGAATATTTCACCCAGAGTTGTTTTAAACAATTTTGTAATCTAATCAGTTATATTTTCTTTAATTATAAAATCAGTGAAAAATAATGGTGAAGAAGTTTTGTTTATGTGGCTATTCTGTATTTGATATCAAATATTTGTTAAAGCCATTTTGTAATATAATCAGTGAATATAATCAATCTTATTTTCATTGTTTTATGAAGTTTATTGCTAAAGTAGAGCTATCAAACTTTATAAATACCAATCACACTCCAAAGTTTTCCCATTTACAAAATCAACAAAAATATACTTTGATGGGGAACTCAGACTCTACATTCAGAATTGCACAACCTTAATTTCATTCTAATCATCCAATATTTCACTCAATGGGAACAGTCCATTCACTCTTGACTCGACCATACTGTATATCCTTGATGGCATCAAAGAACCGCTGTGTAAGTGGGTTCTCGTGTTCCATGGTGGGAATTTTGATAACCTGACCTTCATAATGGATCTCACCAACAGGTGTCACTACAGCTGCTGTTCCAGCCCCAAACATTTCCAAGAGCTGCAATAATAAAATGAATGATTTAGTAATGCAATGCTGTAAAGATTATGTACTGTTTTTCAATATACTGGAGCATAAGTAGTTGTGAATATTAGTTATTTCACATGTACAGCATCTGTTATTTGCATTATTTATAAAATTCACTGTTAGCCTTGATTATAACTTACCTTGCCTTCACTTTTTGCCTGAACGATCTCAGCCATGGTTATGTCCCGTTCTGACACTGTAAACTCTTTCCACTGTCGTGCCAATGACAAGATTGAGTCTCTAGTTACACCAGGAAGAATCAACCCATCAAGAGGTGGTGTCACAAGTTCTCTTTCTGAAAATAAATATGATGAGCTCAATGTAATATCACTATCAGTTCAGTTCATCACATATTCTTTAACCATTATATAGAGGGTTTGTTGTTACTATACTTGAGCTGTCATATGGTTCATTATTTATCTTCCCTTTAAATACACACTGGAGTGAGACACAACACCACCAGGATCATTAAGCTTACATACTGTTGTCACTCATGAGATTTTCACAACTGAATATACTGTATCTGTCCCCAAGGTATTTGAATGAGGCGCACCGAAGTAGGACAAGAGGCGTAAATGAACAGCAGAGAAAAATGCTGTTAAATTTACGAACCTTCAAGTTACCATAGCTTTGACAACAGTGAAGATATTGAAGTGATTCAAATAGCAGATGGTAACTTTGTTAGTGCAGATTTAATTGATGCTAGTGAAAGACATCATACATATTGTTTTGGGGAAAACTGGCATTTGTCCTACTTTGGTTCTGTGCTCCTCGTATAGTGTAATGATGTAGACTTCACATGAATATTTATAATAACTAATTAACCTCCATTTCCTTTATCTAGGAACACCATGATGTTCATTGCTCCCACTTCTGTGATTCTGTGTTCTGGACCAAACAACCACAAGACCTGATGAAGAGATCGAGCTTCCGCTTGTTTCTGAAAAGATGTGATGAAAGCGAGTGTATAATGAGCACTTCCTGAGAACAGAGAATTAGTGAATGTCATACAGCTTGAAGCTCCTTTATATGAAATTTCAAAAACTGAAGGCTACTCTAATCTGAAGATTGATAAAGGATCCTTGGCCTGTGCCATATAAAGGCTGAGTGAACATACAGTATAAGTAACAAAACATAAAAATGGAGATTAATAGTGATGTCATTACAGTACAGTACATTTCATAGTTACATCATAGTGGAAGGTATATAAACAGTAAAAAATGTAACACAAGAACAGATGCAGTACACAAAGAGCATGCAGCTGAGGAAAAAAATTTGAGTTTCTTTATGGATGCTGACCAAAGCTCTATATTAAAGCTCTCAAGAACCTTAATATCAAAAGCTTGGGTATTTTTTCTCCTCCAATATTTTGGACTATTTGTCTCAAGGAGCAGAACTTAAAGTGATGGAAGATTAAAATCACTGAGGACTCCCAATCACACAAGCCAAGATTAATGGTATAGGTATTGAAGATGCTACTGGGATGCATCAACTTCAAAATGTTATTATGCTGACACCTTTATTTTGTCATTATGTGGTTTCATTAAACAGCTTCATACTTGATTTTATTAATTACAGTAAGTACTGTATTATCAGGAAATTTTTATCATATTGACAAATACAGGATACTGAAGACCTAATTATTTCATAAACAATATGCGTAGTATATGAATTTTGTTCATCCCAGAAGGCTACACCTTAGTACCTGGATTTCAAGAGTTGGTCCATAGTTTGATCCCATTTTCATCATGCCAACACCCCCTGGCCAGGCTCGCACATACTGGGGATCTGCTAGCAGAGAAACAGGCTTAAACCCACTTGCGAAGTAAGGCCCAACTGGGCACAGTATTACAAATAGCAGTGCCTCAGTTGGTCGCTGGACACCCAGGGTAGGCTGAAACGGAGCAAACAACCACTGTTAACTATTACTCTCAAAACAACAATTATTAAGTATAAACTCCTTATAGCACAAGAAGCATCTTCCTGCAACAGTCACTCGTACCCAGAGAACAATGAAAACCTACTGAATAAATAAGAGTAAGTACATGAAAATTGTACAGGGTGTTTAGCAAGGAGAGAAATGACAGAAGAGAATGGTGCAGAAAGACAACATCTAGAAAGCTCTCTGAGAGGGCTAAGATAACAAGTACAATTTCTGTACTGTATTACACTCATTCTGAAGGTCTATATCCTGATTATTCACACAGTTACTCCATTCTCTCCCAGTATGTATCACTGTATACCAAGAAAGAAAACACACAAAATAGGCTAAAAACAAGAGAAGGAAAAAGACTTGTGTAGGTGTTCATTTAAATTACACTACCCACTGAAACACTACTTACCTCTGTCCCAATCATGGTGGGTCTTATATATAGACTAGATGATTCAGTATGAGGTACCCATTCTTGATCTATGCTAATAATTTTTTTTAGGAGCTTAATCAACTCTTCACTGTCAAAAGTAGGAAGAGATGATCGAGCGGCTGTTCGATTCATGCGCTCCATATTCTTGCCAGGCCGGAAGAGTCTGATTTCATCATCAACACCACGAAAGGCTTTCATGCCCTCAAACAACTGCAAACAATACACATACAAGTTAAGCAATTAAAATATACATAATAGTATATGATTTATTAGGAGACAATACTACAGAAGCCTCATAGACTGAAGGAGATATTGATACTTTATAGGTAGGTTGGTTTTGTGTGTCAGTGTACATGTACAAGATTTAGTGTGAATATGCATTTGTGTGCCTGAGATGCACTTGTGCTGTATTTATAGAGGTCACTCTGCTTTGTATCTTCTAATTATATTACATTATTAACATATAGTTTATTGATTTTGTTTATTCTAAACTTAAATAGCTCTTGACATGTAAATACTCTCACCTGATATAGTGCAGTATACTGTATAACCTCAGGTATCTGGAACTCAAACAACCAGCACTTTTTGGGTGGGTTCGATTTCCAGTAAGTAATGCCTAATCACATTTAAAAAGGCAAGAAAATAAGTTGCATTTGGTTCCATTTCTGGCCACAAGAGGTGCTGTGTGCATCCTCCATGTTGGCCAAATACATTGGGGGCTGCCATTACAGAGCCTTTAGTGAAGAAAAACTAGCTGTAAGTAATCTTAGGAAACTTTAGTGTTTAGTGAACTTAACAAGCCTATAAAAGAGTAGTGAACTAAGTGATTACTGTACCAGTGTTTACTCAAGCTCAACAAGTAACATCTGCTACTGTACAACAAGATTAAACACCGCAGTGCTACATAGTGAGTGAGTACAGCCCTTTTATAATATTTACTATGAAGAAGTTCTTGAGTTTGAGACGCATCCTCAAAAAAACGATTATCCAGCACACTCAATTCCCCATGCATTCTGGATATCCGAGGCCTTACCGTACTGTACTAGTTCCACACATTTTCCACCGGGTACAGACATACTTCAGTAAATCACAAACTAACCTTACCCTACAGTTCAATGGTGGTTTTAGTCAATATGCTGAAGCACACAAGGCACAGTGCTTATGTGTTACTTCCTCAGAAAGCTAAGCAATTTTTCAGAGTTCTGACATAACATCCCTTACCTACAAGCACAAACATCCTGGTTCTATAATTAAGTTTAATCCTGTTATACTGTATACTAGTGTATGTATGTATGTGTGTTAACCATTTAGTAGATCAGGTGGATCATTACATTACCTCAACAGCATAATGAAGGACCTTAGCAGCAGGGTGTAACCGAAGGTCTTGTAGGGGTGTTATCCTGGGTTTGCCCCATCCTGACTGATCATTGTAGTATATTTTGAGCATGTGGTCGGTAAAGTTACGGCCAAACACCAGGTCTTTCACTGCTGGTTTGCTCTTCAGTTGTTCAGGTGGACAGAAGTCAATGTGAAGGTCCGATGCCTGGAAATAAAATACAATAATCAAGGCTCAATAATATAGTGAAATGTATGATACAATATACTGTACTGTATAACTTTGTGGAGAAGTACAGCAAGTGTTATTGAGTGATTATTGATTGAAGACGGCTGTGAAGACTTATAATAAAAGAAGTGGGGGAAGTCCTAAAACTGACTTGTGACAATCTGACCCTGTATACAGAATTTAGGAAAAGATAAAGTAATATCTAAATGGCCCACTCTATATATTATTATCATTAGCATCAAAGGTTAAGTCACCATACCTTGAAGCTGGGCACAGACGACATAAACCGCACTCCATGGCTCAAAACCTGAAAGAGAATGAAATACATCATCTAAAAACACTATGAGTTCAAGTTAACATGATATACATAAATGACATAGACTATACATTACTGTACTTTTTATCTACAGCATATATGTACTGTATATCTGTCTATTCAGTGCAGCATTCAGGTTTTCATTTGACCTAGTACAGGTAGTCTAGACTTCACAATCTAAACTGACTTACCCTAAATAACCTAACTTAACTTATGTTAAATATAACCAAACTTAATGTACAGGTAAATATAACCAGACTTTAACCCCCTACCCAAATATAACCTAACCCAATCTAATGATAAATTTAGAGTGGAGTCTATTAGGATTATAACCTATTTGGCCTGTAGCCATAATAGGTATCTTTATATAAATATTTAACTCATCTCAGCCTGACGTTACTAAAGGTGAGACCAACTTGAATAGTTTTGGCACAGTGGCAGCCCGATACGTAAGGGACTGTCTTGGCATGGGTTTCCACATCTACCTGCGTCATCAGACCAGAGAAAAAAGTCAACACAAATAAACTGTAAATGTGGAGCAAGAACAGTACAGTACAAGAATATAAATTGAAAACTTTATTGTAGAATTAAAATTTAATCTTTGAATTGCTTTGAATGTTAGAGAACCTAAGTCCAGGTATCAACAAAATGTCTTGACTGATTTCTTAAGTTAAGTGAAAAGTGAAAGTGTAACACACTGGCTTGACACGTTGTGAATACAGACCCCCTGAGGCTTTGATACACAGGGAGGCAATGGTTGGTTTTGCTTCCTACCAGTGTGTGTGTGTATGTGCTGAACTATGTCAGGCAGGGATATCGGGTTATCTTGCCGACACTGTCATAGGATGCACAGGTAACAGAAGTGAGTGATATGTCAATTACCACTTAACCATAAAAAAATTTGAGGAAGTTTATATTTATTGTGGGGGGGGGGGGTGTTGAGTAACAGACATGTTATCCAACACCGACCAAAGACCTATGATTGTCCCTCTACCAATAATAAACTCAGCCATAACCCATGATAATATTGAGGGTTGGAAGAGTTGTAAAAGGAGGTGGGAAGGAAGACTGGATGCTTGGAGGAGGAGGAGGCGGTGAGAAGGAAAAGTAATTTAGAGGAAGAGGAGACACTATTTTTTTTCTTTAACATTTATATGCACTGAGGCACAATACACTAAGAGATCTGTAAATTGTCTAAAACATGTCACTTTTCTGTAATATATTAGCCTGTGTATGTATTTGTCTCACAGCACCTCGACTTCATACTGATACTGTCATGACCCACAGTCTAAGGTATTAGGGGTGTTATATATATAGGCAGAGGAAGGGCGTGTTTACAGCCTGGCACACTCCCGCTGCTTGCCAGACACCTTGAGGGAGGTAGGGAGGGAGGATGAGTGGTTATGATAGCTGCCAAGGTTTTAGTTCTGCTACCCTCATCCCCCCACTCCTTACCTCCCCCACATTACACCAATACCTCCCCACCCCCATCCCACCTCCCCACCCAACACTACACCTAACTCACCACCCCCACCCCATATTGCACCTCATGCTACACCTACACCTCCCCACCCACCCCTATCCCACACTACACCTACCTCACATTACACCCAAATCGCCAGGTATAATAAACTAGAATGGTGTGTTTGTTGTGTGTTGTCTGTGTATGTGTGTTGTCTGGAGACGAGGACACCCAAGGTTAACACAGTACGTCAGTCATTTTGCCTTCAGGGGTTCGGTAATTGAAGGTATGTGAAACGAACCTCACACACCGAATCCTGTTCCTCCGAGTGTGTTTGCCTGACGCTTGTAGTGGTCGTTGTATATTTTGTGTTGGGTGTGTTGATGCTTCCTAATAACCAATGTGTGTGTAATAATAAATAATAATAATAATAATTGACGGTTTATTGAAAAAGTTCTGCAGCCCGAAGGCTGAAAACATACATTGGACATAAATGACTTATTACATACATTGGTGGTTTAACAAAAGCCTTCATTAGAGAAAGGTAAAGGAACATAAGAACATAAGAATGGAGGAAACTGCAGCGGGCCTATTGGCCCATACTGGGCAGTCCCGTTTACACCCAACCCCTATTGCTCATATGAGCATCCAACCTATGTTTGAAGCAATTCAGCGTATTCGAGTTAATGATGATATTTGGTAACTTGTTCCATTCATCCACTACTCTGTTTCCAAACCAGTGTTTACCTATTTCACGCCTAAATCTAAATTTGTCTAATTTAAAACCATTGTTACGAGTTCGCTCCTGGTTGGATAATTTGAGTACCTTTGTAATGTCCCCTTTGTTTAGCCCTGCCTTCCACTTATACACCTCTATCAGGTCGCCCCTCGCTCTACGTCTCTCAAGGGAGTGCAAATTAAGATGCTTTAACCTGTCTCTATACTCAAGGTTCCTAATGCCCGGGATTAGTCTTGTAATTCTCCTCTGAATTCTTTCCAAGGATTCTATATCCATTCTGTAATACGGTGACCAGAACTGAACTGCGTAATCCAGGTGCGGTCTCACAAGAGCAAGATACAGTTTTAGGATGACCTCGCTAGTCTTGTAACTAACACTCCTTTGTATGAACCCAAGTACTTTATTAGCCTTGTTACGAGCAAAAACACATTGTTTACTTGGCTTAAGGTTCCTACTTATCATTACTCCTAAATCTCTCTCGCAGTCGGATTTCTCTATGGCATCGTTGTTCATCTGGTATCTGGTTTCCCTGTTTACATCTCCTATACTGAGTACTTTACATTTGTCGACGTTGAATTTCATCTGCCATTTTTCAGTGAACATACAGATTATTGTAGGTGTTGAACAGCAAAAACGTAGTGTAGTAACTCCCTCCCAGATGGTGTTAGGAGGGACCTCACGTGGTGTAGTAGTTCCCTCACAGATGGTGTTATGAGGGGCCTCACGTGGTGTAGTAATTCCCTCACAGATGGTGTGAGTGGTCCTCACAGATGGTGTTGGTGTATCACAGATGGTGTTATGAGGGGCCTCACGTGGTGTAGTAATTCCCTCACAGATGGTGTTATGAGGGCCTCACGTGCCACAGATGGTGTTATGAGGGGCCTCACGTGGTGTAGTAATTCCCTCACAGATGGTGTTATGAGGGGCCTCACGTGGTGTAGTAATTCCCTCACAGATGGTGTTATGAGGGGCCTCACGTGGTGTAGTAACTCCTTCACATATGGTGTTATGAGGGGCCTGACGTGGTGTAGTAATTCCCTCACAGATGGTGTTATATGAGTGAGGTGTGGTCCCAGGCCTTCCTATCGTAGACGGATTAACACATCGCTGGTTGTTGGGTCTCACGGGCCGCTACCACTGGGTACCTGGGACCTCACTGTGTGAAGGTCAACCCGGGTACAACTGTTACTGTTGAGTTGTTCTCACTGACTTAAGCACCGTTCACCACTGTTTAACACTGGTTCCATTCCTTTCCTAAATGAAACAGCAACTTCTGGCGAGAACATGTTGATATTCCGGTGGGGAGGAGGGTTCAGGGGAGGGGGCTGGCATGGGCCAACACAACACTTGACCTGGCTGCTCCGAGAGGAGCGCCAGGCACGTCTCGACCCTTCGGTGGTCAAGGATGTAGTGTGTGTGTGTACGAATGCATGTAGGTATGTGTGTTTGTGTGTCTAATATCCTATCTATCTATCTATTATATATCTATATATCTAAGAGACTACACTATAAAGAAGCAAAATGTAACACCAGTATCTCACTTTATCCTGAAACTGATTAAAAAAAGTGAACAAGAATTTTTCCTCTCAAAAGCATCTCCCACGTGGCGTACCTCTTGTCTCCATTGCGTCAGCTCTACTACCTTGACAACATTATTACTAACTCACACCATCTCTCATTTGGAGTGTCTACATCAGTGATAACCCCCCTCCTCCTCCTCCACCCCCAAAGCTTCCTCTCCCAGGCTATCTATCATCACCCAGTGTGGTCTTCTTCAATGCTGTACATAATGCAGGATCACCTGAAGATTAAACACCCCAGCTTATTTCACCTGATGTTTAAACGTCCTAACACTAATTTAACTTAATCTAACCTCTCTCATGTAATCTTAAGGTGGTGTTTAATCATTCCCTCACCACTCCTAACACCCCCTAACCCACCCCCCTTCCCCTGATCATCATCCCCTCTCACCACCACCACCACTTCCTGCTAATCAGAGACAATACACCTGAATTTATCCTCCCAGGTACTCGTTCTTCTCCTTCAGGATGGACGGGGCAACAGGTAGCTCCTATTACCTGTTACTGGGTGAAATTATATCTTAGACTCTAGTCCTTCCTGATATTTACCAACTGCTTCGATTGTTTGCTCTACCTGCCTGCCTCCACTGTACATTATATACCTGCATTGTCTATGTACACTGTTTATATACCTGCTTTAGACACTTTATATACCTGCACTGTTTCCCTATAAAGTACACCTGAATGGATTAATTGTTTGATCATAAAAGCACTATGTTCGTGGTACAGAATATGTTAACTGAAAAAGGTTTACTTCCGGGAGAGGCGGATGGATTTATCTAGTGCTAATGAGTAAGTGAAATTAACGTGTGTGTGTGTGCACAACTTTGACACCACTACTACTACTGTTCTCGTGTTAAGATAAAGTTATGTTTGTATACTGTCGTTGGTATTGGTTCATATTTGCTGGGTGTTCGATGTGTTGTGTCTGGCCAGGCTACAGGCTACCACAAGGCATCACCTCCCAGTGCAAGTTTTTATGTATTACCGCCACGCCAGTCTACACTAGCTAAGAATTTTGAAGAGGACGTCAACCTCACCATTACCTTCCAAGTGATTCATAATGTAAATAAAAAGCACCGTGTGATGAATGCCAGTGTAATCAGAAATTTTATCTTTTTTGAGGGGTTTGTTCTCTTATCTCACTGACTTTGAGCTAGAAAATGTTGATCGTCTTCTAATTGCTGTTACTGGGAAAGGAATCCGGGAA